CTTTTCGTTAGAGTAAATTATACTCGATATATATATATATATATATATAAAGCATGCTACTTTGAATGCAAAAGCAAAATCCAACGACCGACACACATAAATTTGTCACTGTATTTGCTTTTTAATTGTGAATGCATCAACCAATTGTGTTCATTTGCTTTTCGTTGTTGTTGTTTTTTTTTTTTTTTTTTTTTTTTTGGGTCCTATCTAATCATTTTGATGTTTTGACTGCATCAACCAATTGTGTCCTCTACTTTTCCTTTTGAATCAGTCTCTTTCTCTCTCTCCTCTTGCAAGCAAACAAATAAAAATTATTTTTGTTTGACATTTTGATGTTTTTTTTGAGATATTGTTATTTTTCCTCTAAAACTGAATTCAAACTACATGAAAGAAACAATATATGAATTTCAAATTAGTAACGACATAAATCATGTTATGTAAGAAATTATATATGTAAATTTAAAATAAAAATATAATTTCACGAGTTTAAAAAAAGTTATAGTGATACAATATTTCTCGTGATCTCTAATTTACAATCAATTTTAATATCAAAATGTAGCTTCAATAGCATTTTTATTTGTCAACATGTGCACTAATAAAATGGAGCCATTTTTCTTTTTGATCTCTCTTTGTATAATAATAGCACTCGCCATTGGCCCATCGTGTCCTTTCACATTTACATTTATTTGTTACTCGTAATACTTTTCAATTCCTTTTTATCTTTATCCAAGCTCGTAAAATTAGGCCATCTCAATTTGAATTCTTGTTGGCTTTTTTTTACTTACTTAATAAAATTGTATTATGAATTTATATAATAATTAATTTAATTTAATTTTAATTTTAAAATTATTTTGTAAAATATAAAAAAAAATCAAAAAAATATATTATTTTCTTGATCTTTAAATTTTATATCTACTTTTGTAAGCATGTATATATATATGAAAGTTTGGGTGGTCTAAATTTTATATCTAATAACAAATATATATATATATATATATATATATATATATATATATATATATATATAAATTCTTTACTTCATTAGAATAAAGCATATAATTTTAAAAAATATTTACTCTACAGTTTACACTCCAATTATGTGTTTTTTGGAAAAAAAAGCAACTAACTCTGATTTTGTTTTTTAAATTTAGCCTTAAAAAACACTTACCACGATTAGAATACATCAACCAATTGTGTGCGTGTAAAAAACCTTTAAATCTGAGCTCCGAACATCATTCTAATCGACAAAGTGTTATTTGATTATATAATTTATTGCTTAATTTTAAAAGAATTAAATATTTATTTAATTAAATACATTTGATAATATAATTTGAGTATACTGAATATTGGTAAAGAGAAAGACATCATTTATCGCTAGATGTGAATGATACATTTATCTTTTTACTATTGGTTAGAAATCGCAAAATCTTATCGAGTGATTCAGATCCGTCAAATTATGATGTGACTTGCCACCAACTTTTCCTTTCCGGTTTTCATCGTTGATTGCAGTGTCATGGTACCAGTTTAGTTTTGTTGTCTTCCTTTCCTTTCTCTCTCTCTAGATATATATATGTATATATATATATATATATATATATATATGTGATACCGATGCTAAAACTTTTTGCTCCTCATTATTAAGAGCAATACATTGGCCTACGTTTTCAATTGAATTATTAAAACTTTAATCTAGTCACTTCCTGTTCAATCTTTAATAATACAGTATGGCATGAAAATGTCATACTCATAGGACTAATATAATCACTAATTTTGCTTCCTTGATATTTCATCGTCACCCTCGTGGGTTTTTATTTTTGATCTTTCTTTTATGTTTGGATTCCAAATAGAGTAAAAAAATTTTGAACTTGTATAATTTTTTGAGTAAATTTTGTTATTACGATTTGAACAGTACTTAAGTCATCAATAATGAAAATTTACATTATATCATTGTTGATGTGGATCAATATATCATCTATAATTTGGTAATTAAAATAGAATATGTCTATTTATTATTAGTCCACATCAACAATGAGTATGGTGTAAATCCTCATTAATAAGTATCTAAATATTTCTCAAATTTATAGTCTAGGGTGGGTTCCTAAGGCCTTGCCTAGGTGAGTTTTTGGTGAAAAAAAAAAAAAAAAAAAAAAAAAAAAAATAATAATAATAATAATAATATTAATATTGTTTTTAAGATGCACCCTCAAAAAACACTTGCCACAGTAACTATTTGTAATTGTAAATTATGCATAAGAATCGGAGATACAAATTTCTAGAGAGGCCTTTGGATACAAAAGTAAATTCAAAGTCTGACACGCCATGTGAATATGTCACTTTATTTAGAAGCCCACCTAAAAAGCAAAAGCAGTAAAGCACTTACCACAATTATTTGCTTTTTCAATTGCTTCGTCCTTTTTTTTGTTTTTTTGGGTCGTATCCAATTATTACTCTTGACTTTTCCTTTTGAATCGATGCGCGAGAAAATAGCGCGTTAAACCTACTCGCAGTAGGGCCGGGCGCGTGAATAAATGGTTCTAATCGGTAAAACTTCAAAAACAAAGATCAGATGTAGTAGGACTTAGTGGAAAGTAATGCGAAGGAATCATATAAATGATCTGTATATTTCGGAGTGACTATACAATAAGAGTGGACTACAATTGGCTCTCATGAGATTTGAACTAATTACACTTAAACTTAAGGTTTATCATTTGGTTGCAGCGACACTGAGGTTTTCTCAAGTTTGTAATGACCTTCCCTCTCTACAAAAATTTATATATTTTTTTTTGTCAAAAAATTGATTTGAAGTGAGTAATCTATACAATGACTATAATATAATAGAATTATATTAACAATTATATTCTATACTAGACTTGAATTCAAATTAAATGAAAGAAATAATATTTGAATTTTAAATTAGTAATGACATAAATTATGTTATGATAATTGTGGTAGATACAAGATTAGTCTAAAACAAGATTTAAATGAATATCTATATATATATACATATATATATATAATATGTGCACCAATAAAATGGAGTTATTTTACTAATGTACTATTGGCCTAGCGATATCTTATGGTACCAATTAAGAGAAAAAAAATAATAATAAAATATATTGTTTTCAAAATCGTTAAATTTTATATCAAGTTTTGTAAGCATGTATATATGAAAGTTTTGAGTCTAAATTTTATATCTAATAACAAGAGTATATATAAATTTTTCACTTATTTGAGAATAAAGCATTATTAATTTTAGAAAATATTTACTCTACAATCTACACTCCATTTATGTTGTTTTTTTTTTTCTTTAAAAAAAAAAAAACAACTAACTCTAATTTTGTGTTTAAGATTCACCCTTAAAAAACACTTACCACAATTACTAATTGTAATTATAAATTATGCACAAAAATTGGAGATCGAAATTTTAAAGAAACCTTTGGATGCAAAAGTAAATCCATCTAAGCGGTAAAAACCAAAAGCTAATAATCAGTGACAATTATGCACAACAATTGTCACTGTATTTGTTTTGTCCTTTCAATTGTCACTGTATTTGTTTTGTCCTTTCTTTTGGTTGTATCAATTGTTATACTCTACTTTACTTTTGAATAGGCTATATGCGAAAATAATAATAATAATAATAATAATAATAATAATAGAAAAATTATTCTTGCAACGAATACCTAAGTGAATTGATAATTAAACCGTTAATTAATTTTTTTCAGTTACAATAATTTCAAGACGCTCCTTCGAAAAAAACAGAGAGAGCAAATAAAGTATCGACCAAATTTGGATGAAATCTTTAGATAGGTAATGGATTTTTCACCAACTTTATAAATTAAGTCTTCGTATATTTCACTGTAAAAAAAATTTCGAAATTTTTTTCTCCTTATTTTTAGGTATTTGGAAGATTTCAAGATTAGAAAATTATTTTTCATGTAAAACATTTTATCCCCAAATGACTGAAAAAGATTTACCAAATTTTTTTTCATAAATCATTTTACATAGGCTATAATGCTTGTTGGTGAGGAACACTAAAGAAATAGAGAGTTAATTGTGTATAAAAGTTGATCTAGAAAATATTTTATCAACAGTTGCCAAACACCTAAAAATAAAATATATTTATATATTTTAGATAAAAATATTTTACAAGGAAAACATTTTACGTCTAAACAAATGAAGCCTTAATATTATTACTTAATGAGATTTATATTATAATTTTTTAATGTTTATGATTACACGTCCACCATCAAAAATAAATCCAACACCCTATAAAATATCTAAATTTATTGAAAGGATTCATCAGTTTAGCCCTTTTCATTTTTGATCTTTAATAATATAGTATCATAACTAAGAAATTGTGTTATGTTTTTTCATTTATCATTTTTATCTCCTTTACTTTTTCTTTGAAATATACTTATTATTTTTTCTACATTGAAACAAAAAATATATGGACTTCAAATTAGTAATAACATAAATTATGCTCTGATGTTTTGATAATTGTGATGAATACGAAATTAAGGTTTAAAACCTGAAATAAAGAACTAGAGATAGATTTTATATGGATTAAAGGATTCTAAAGAAATTTATTTATGTTTAGTTGTATAAAAATTCAAATTATCATTATCATAATAAAATATTTGTCCTAAATCTCTAATTTACAGTCACTTTGAACATCTAAATACAAATTTAACTTGTTGTGATGGCGAACCTCATTTATCTTGTTCCTGGAAACAAAAGCCAATGATGCAGTGATAATGAGTCTAGGATTGTACGTAGAATACTATTATTCAGTTTTACCAATTTTGAGTTAGTATAATTAATTTAAAGTTTAGGATTGTATGTAGAATACTATTATTCAGTTTTACCAATTTTGAGTTAGTATAATTAATTTAAAGTTTAGGATTGTACGTAGAATACTAGTGGTAAAATTTCTTGCACTTTATTTTGTCTTAAAGCTAGTTAGGTAACTTTGACAGCACCATGTCAAATCGTGCAGTGTGATGACGACGGACATGAAAAATCATGTTCTTTGTTTTTGGTTCTAAGCGATAATTACTTTTCATTCTGGCGAGTCTCTCTCTCTAACATCTGAATTTGCATATTTCTCTCTCCCACAATCTCTGTTTCTCTCTCATCTCGCTGCTGTCGCACCAAAATCCATCTCCTGAATCTTCACTTTGTGTTCATCCATTTTCTTTCTCTTGGTCTGTCAGCCATTGATAATCAGACTTAATCGGTTCAATTGGGTTTGGAATATATATATATAGCTTTATCTGGACAAAATGGGCATAAGCCAGAGGTATGTCTTCAAATCTCTTCTTTAGTTTCCTCAACAACTGTCTTTTTACCTCTCTGTATTAGCTTCAATTGCTTCCATTTCATTTTTATTGTATTCCGTATTGCATCAACTGTCTTGTTTTCTTTCTTTCTTTTCTTCCTCTGTGTCTGCAATTTCACTCTCTTAGTTTTTCTGTTCAATTTGAAATAGGCTTTTTCTTACACCTTAATTTGTATCTCTATCTCTCGAGTGTCTCCTTGTGAATCTTCACTTTCTTTCCGGAGAAAAAAAAAAAAAAAAAAAAATCTTCACTTTTCTTTGTCTTGCTTTTGGACTTGTTTGTCATTCAAAATCAAACTGTGTGTGTTTGTCTTGAATTCTCTTCCTTTAGTTTCTTAGCTTTCTCCTTATTTAATCCTATTGTTTCCGTTTCCTCTATATTCTGTATTCCATCGTCTGCTTAGAGAGAGAAAAGAAAAAAGAAACAAATTAAAAATGGCTGAAGGTAATGTTAATGTAATTGTGGGAAGTATTTTAAAGCCTCTCATAGACGGCTTGTACAAATCCATCTGCCGTCAAATTGGTTATTTGGTTCAGTGCAAGAAGAACATTAAGGATTTTGCAGATGAAGTGGAGAAACTCAGGGCTACCAAGGAAGTTGTGGAGAGAAAGGTTAGTGCAGCCAGGGACAATGCTGAAGTCATTCACGACTATGTTTCAAAGTGGCAGAGGGATGTGCAGAGCATGGAAGACGACAAGAGCAGATTACTCGAAGCCAAAGATAATCTCAAGTGTCTTCATGTTTGCTCACGGTACCGATTGGGTAAGGAAGGAAAAAAGAAGCAGCCTGATGTTACCAAGCTTATAGCCGATGGCAACAATTTTGGCGATGTTGGATACCAACGTCGTCCCACCGTTACTTTCGAGAAGACATACAGCAGAAACTATGAGAGTTTTCAATCCAGGGAGTTTGTTTTTGAGGAGATCATGAAGGCACTAAAAGATGATGGGACTTACAAGATTGGGATACACGGAATGCCTGGTGTTGGAAAGACAAAAATGATGGAGGAAGTTGCTCAACGAGCCGAAAAAGAGAGCCTGTTCGATGAGGTCACCCAGATAGTTGTCTCCCAGAATCCACTTTTGGAAGATATTCGACAAAAGCTCGCCAAAAGTTTGAATATGAAAGATCCGAGTAATGCGAGTAAGGAGCAAATATGCGATAGATTGAGAAATGGTAAAAGGATTCTTATAATGGTAGATGATGTTTGGAATGATGAAATTAAGTTGGAGCACATTGGAATACCCGCTGCTGATAATCATATTAAGGGCTGCAAGATTATTTTGACCTCTCGGATAAAAGAGGTGTGCCTTCGGATGCGGGTTCAAAAGGAGTTCGAAATTGGGCTCTTGTCGGAACATGAAGCATTGATGCTATTTAACGAAACCGTGGGAGATTTTACGGACTCTGGTGAACTGCATTCTGTAGCTAAAGAAGTGTGTCATGAATGTGATTGTTTGCCGTTGGCAATAGTTACAATTGGAGCAGCATTGCAGTATGAGAGAGAAACTAAAGGGTGGAATGATGCACTTGAACAATTGAAACATTCTAAGGCATATAAAATTCCAGGAGTGTCAGACAAACTATATTCGTGCATACAGTTGAGTTACAAGAATCTGAAGCTGAAAGATCAACGGTTATGCTTTCTGCATTGCAGTTTGTTTCCGGAAGATGCTGAAATTTCTATTGATGACTTGGCAATATATGGAGTGGGAACGAGATTTCTTGAAGGCACAGATAGAGAATCAATGGAAAAAGCAAGACAGAGAACACATACGTTGATTGGTACCCTCAAGAAATCTAACTTGTTGTTAAATGGCAGGAATCAAAACTTTGTCAAAATGCACGATGTCATTCGAGATGTGGCGATATCAATTGCATCAGAAGATAAAGTTGCCATGTTTCTAGTGAGAGCTGGTATTGAGAAGTGGCCAGATGAGGATGGAAATAAACAATGCAAAGCAATCTCATTAAGGTTTAATGATGATTGTGTGCTTCCGGGTGATTCAGAATGTATAGAAGTATGCACCTTAATGTTGGAATCCCGTAAGCTTTCATCAGAAATTCCAAGTACCTTTCTTAAAGTGATGAAGAAGCTTCAAGTTTTACAATTGCGGAATATGCAAATTTCGGAACTACCTTCATCGCTTAAAAATCTTAGGATGTTACGGCTATACAACTGCAAATTGGTGAATGTAGCTTTTCTCAAGGAATTTAAAAAACTTGAGATACTATGCATTAAAGATTCTGATCTCAAAGAACTGGCTCCTGAAATAGGACAGTTGACTAGTTTGCGGTTGTTGGATGTGAGGGGCTGTTACAGGCTCGAGATCATTCCCTCGGGTGTCATATCAAGTCTATCCCAACTTGAGGAATTGTACATTCCAGATGAGTTTGACCAATGGGTGGTTAAAGACAATGCAAGTCTTAATGAACTAAACTCATTGAAGCGCTTAATCAGTTTACAAGTTTTTGTGCCAGATGTTGTGTTACTGCCGCCCCTCATTGAGCCTCTGTTTGAGGAGTTGATCAGATTTCAAATATCCATTGGGAGCCGTTTTGACTCCTGGCATTCAGCAACAAGGATGTTGAAACTATATAGGTTTCGTATCAAGAAGGAGCTTAACATTTTGATAGAGAAAGCTGAAGTACTAGTTTTAGAGAATCTTCCTGATGGACTATGTGGATCTGGTTCATTTAGTAAATTAAGTTTCTTAAAAATTGTAAACTGTAAATCAATGATATATCTCTTCTCCTCGGCCACTGCAAGAAATCTTTTGCAACTCCAAGAATTAATTATAGGTCGTTGTGAAACCATGGAGGAAATAGTAAGAGATGATGAGGAAGCTATGGATGCTGTTATTATTTTTCACCATTTAAAGAAAATAATGTTGGAAGATCTACCCAAGCTCAGAAGTTTCAATGCCAATATGAAGAAGTCGACAACTAGGGGGGAATGCAACACGTCCACCCTTGTGCAAGCTTTGTTTAACCATAAGGTATGCTCCACACTTACCTTGTAATTATAATTATTTTTATTTTATTTTATTATTTTCCTGACAAGAAGCAAAGAGAACCAAAAAGAAAAAAAAAAAAACCAAGACAAAATAAGAATCAATGGCAGAAATAAGCCATGTGGATCAAATCATTCCCAGAACCTATTTAATCTTTCAATTCATTGCTTTAGCCCAACTCATGGCAGTCAATCCTAGGAGTTCTATTCATAATTAATGTCTGTCAACTAAACATTGCTTCCATGACTCCTTTACTCAAATTTCTCAGTCCATGAATCACAAAATCCTAGACTTATTGATATAATGTAACCGTAATTGCATATGATTACATAGAAGCACTTGCACCCAAAACCTAGTTATAATATCCAGTGAATATGATAACTTAATCTCACACCTGCATTAGTACATTTATATATATAATCAATTTTCCACCTGTATAATTATATAGTAAATGCATATTCCCACATCAAGAATTCACAGTTCACTCAACTAAGGTTTGCACCCTTCATTAGATAATTACTTCCAAAATCCACCAATTAACATTCAAATTCTAGTGCCTTCAAATATGCGTAGCCGACTATATAATCAATAAATAAAATTCTTAAAATAACCTATATATAGAATCATTCATAGGTCAGCTAACTAATTTCTCATTCTCATTAATTACTATATAAAGATTAACATTACAGAAATGCATAGTCTCGTTAGATCACCGCAGTTGAAAAGAATAAATAAATAAATTAGATTAGTATCTAAACCTCCACCAATCAATCAGTCACCTTTCAGCAATTCACACTACTTTGTGCAGATATAGATGTAATATCGTTAAACTAAATGCATCTCCAATGACCAAATGAAATATATAAAATACTACCGATTCACTAGATTCCATAATTCAATCCTATAACAGTAAAATGTCAAATTGAATCGTACCCATACATGCTTGATTTCATACACCCATTACTACCTCCTTACACCCAAGACGACAAGTTTAAGATGTACAAGAAATATACATGGACACAAGTACAGGTATAAAAGTACATAAATTCATTCATGCTTTAATACTACACATGATCAAGTACGCATAATCAAATTCCTAACATGAGGCAATTAATTCTATGATTAATAACATATTATAGTATATACATGGGATCAAAGCAAGAATGTAATTGCAATCGGCTTAAGCTTCTTTGCTTTTTCCGCAATAAACATATAAAATCCTCAAGATCGCTGGGTAAAAAATTAGATACAACTAAGTCTATATATATATATATGCAGTGATTGAGTTAAATAAGAACTCTTTTAAATTCCAAAATAAACCAAATAATGACTCTGCTATCTCCTTTTATTTTTAAATACAATCACTTATCTAAATTTTAAATAAGGATAACGCCTAAATAATAATATGTGTCCATAAATATATAAATATATTACGTCTGTCCCATATTAATACTCCACTACCTCATTTTTAGATGTCACAAATTAATTGTCTACTCTAAAAAGTCAAAGCAAATAAGTTTATCTTTCCATTATTGTCCTTTACATTTTCAAAAAATTTCAAAATTTGATAACTATACATATTTAAATTAAAATTGACAAATTAATAATTTTAAAAGGGAACAATGCATTAATAAATTAGAATATAGATATACTAAGGTTTTTCTCTATACAATGACCACTGAAACAACTTATTTCCTCTTCCTCCTCCCACATGAAAGGTTGCACATTTAATTAAATTACCATTGACAAGTAAAAAATATTAGCCTTTTCATGTCTTATTTGACAATTTGTAGATCATATGATTTGAATATATGGTTAATTTTATTATCTTAATACACTTTTTTACTTTTTTTTGTACAATTTAAATTAAATTCAGGATTATATTTTTCCTTAAAACATTAGAATTCTGATTTTTTTTTTAAAAATAAATTAGAATTCTGAGCTTACCTTGTGTAAGCCTTTTTTATTTTTGTGCAAGACAAAGCTTGAGACTCGCAACTAAAGATGCCTTTTGAGATTCTAAAATTAACTTTACACGAACTCAAAATTTAGAGAACAATTTAGGAGAGCAATATTTATTTACATAGTTTCTAAAATTTAGGAAAACAATATTTATTTACATAGTTTAGCAATGGTTTTAATAGTTTGGGCCATTTTGATTAAGCTTAAAATATGCCTCTTTTTTTTTTTTGGTCCATTTTTATTAATCTCAACCGTGGCCCATGGCCTCTGGTCCGATTCTCTCTAATTTTGTACTTCTCAAGAAGAGTTACATATGTTATTCTATTATGTCATATAAACACACCAGACATTTCAAACAAGTATATACACACATATATATATATTAAATTAAAGATCTTCTATTAGTTTTTATATTCTTTTCAATCTTTGTATATATGCTTTACACTTATCATGTTAGAAATTAGCACATGTTATACACTTTTACACTTTTCTTGATTTTTGTCTTTATACAAAAATTAAAGATTTGGACTTCAAACTCTCAAACTCAAAGGGACCCAAACCCTATCTATAATTCAGCTTTAAAAGTAAGCTTCAGATCACAACTCTTATTCAAATTTCTATATTTAATTGCAATATTAGTTTGCTTTACAAGCCCACCCATTCCAACAGAAATGATGGGCCCAATGGTCCCACTTGAATGCCATCCCATTTTTTTGGTTGCAATGGTTGGCCCAAGAAGCATTTTTTAAATTAATTTACATTTAACTGAAAATAAAATATCATATTAAGAAGCAGTTGCTCCACACTATTTTTTATCTACATATTTCTCTAATATGGCAACATTTCCCCCCACTCAATTGCGAAAAAAAAAACAAATTTGTCTTTTGCCGGAATTAGAAAAGTCATTAAATTTTCTCTAGTAAAAAAAGGAATGAAGAAGTTTGTTTCAATTATGTCCTTTTCAACAATATTAAGTCTTTAAGTTAAAATTTAGCTCTTCTCTTACTTTTCTTTTTCCTACGCAAGTTAGGTTACTATTTTTCTCTCCACTTTTTTATTTTCCTTAGAGTACTATTTTTATATGTTTTATTTTATAAAAATTTATGCAATTAAAAATCTATTAGTTATTTATTTTCACTCCGGATTTAGAGTTGATGACTTGTGTTTACGATTAATATTTTTCTTTCTCCAAACTTGGATTTGGATGGATTGTGTAACTTGTGTTATGCAACTTAATCTATATACATTTCCTATAAATAAATTAATAAAAAACGAGCCTACTCTAAAGAAATCAAAATTTTTTTTTTGGAATTTTTTTTTTTTTTTTTTCCCAGAAATTTAAAGAAATCATTTTCTTGAAAGCCTACCAAATTACAATTACTATGAAATTTTTATTATTTTTGGATAAGTGCAATTACTCTAAAAATATATGTATATGATGTTTCCCAAACAATCATACAAAATCCTTGAAACATGCCTTGCAACATTGTAGAGCAGAGTCATTGTGTGAGTGCAACATTGAAACCTGGTCTGATTTTTGGGGTTTGATATAATGGTTAATGTGAATGTTTTAATTTTGAGTCACACTCTAGTCTCCTTGTCACACTCTGAATTTCAACAACTACTACCCACTTTGTTTTCTTCTTAAAAGAATATATATCTATTTTTAATTTGTATGAGTCAAAAAAAGATTCTGACCCAACACTATTGATGAACCAATCCAATAAATCTACTTCTAATAAATTTCTATATAATTTCTTGGACTAAAAAACGACATTCTTGAATAAAATTTGATTTCCTATTCTTGGTTTTGAGCTGAGAAATAATATTACCATTTTGCATGTCTAATTTGATAATTTGTAGATCTGATTTGAATAGTAGTTAATTTTGATATCTTAATATACTCTTTTTGTACAATTTTAATTAAATTCAAGATCCTATTTTTTTTTTCTTAAAACATTAGAATTTTGCTTTATTATTATTATTATTATAATTATTATTTTGTTGAAATAAATTAGAATAAATTATTTTTATGCTTTGGTACCAACAAATTTTTTAGTAAATTAAAAACAAATTCTATTACCCTTACCAAGAGTTATGTAGCTTAATGCTACTTCCTCACATTCCAAATAATAATAATTATTTTTTTTTTCCTTTTGCTTTCCTTGACAAGATGCAAAGAGAACAAGAAAGTAAAGCAAAACAGGAAAAGGAAAAAAATGCAAATGTAACAATTTATTTCCTCTTCCTCCTCCCACAGAAAGGTTGCGTATTTAATTAAATTTCATTGGGTAGGAGTCTGTAATTACCTATCAAAAAATGAAAAGAAGAAGAAGAACAATGCAAATGAGAAATTATCAATGCACATTCAAAGATCCACCTGATGTCATCTCAGCAGCGCTATTAGCCATTTTGTTTTCTTCTTAAAAATAATTTTCTTTTATTTTTTTAATTATCATCGAATTAGGAAGTCTCCTTGTCTAAAAATGACATTCTTGAATAAAATTTGATTTACTGTACTTGGGTTTGAGTGGGAACAATATTAACCTTTTCATGTCTTATTTGACAATTTGTAGATAGTATGATTTGAATATATGGCTACTTTTGTTATCTTAATACACTTTTTTTTTTTTTTTAAGAATATAAATTTTTGAGACCTAATACTAAATTTCCGTATTAAATTTAAGGATATAAATTTTTGAGACCTAATATTAAATTTCCGTATTAATTAGAGTTTAATTAAAAAACAGAATGAATGATGAGAGAGAAAAGAGATTAAAAAAAAGTTATTATAGGATATAAATATTTGGGGCCTAATATTAAATTTATGTATTTGATTAGGGTTTGATAATATTGAGAAATAATTGAAGTATAACTTATATAAGGAAATTTGAAAATTTTGAGGCCTTCATATGCCTCTAGTCGGCCTTATCCAACTCTCTCTAATTTTGTTCTTCACTGGTTTGCGCTGGTTCACTGCCCCTCTCTAATATGTCATGAACCGCATTTCATGCAACCGCCCACACACGTAGTATGTTTCAAACTTTCATGCAAACAAGTGTTTATATATATATATATATATATATATATTAAATTAGAGATATTCAATTAGCTTTTATATTCTTTTTAATCTTTGTATATGCTTTTACACCTATCAGATTAGATCATCTTAACATGCATTTGTTAGCAAAAGTTTTACACCTTTCTACATATCTTTATTCTAACAATAAAGATTCAAACTTCAAACTCTGAAAATCACATAGGCTCAGACCCATCTCTAAAAACAATACATTGGTTGAATATATTGGGAAAGACATTTCATGCTCTAATGCAAAAGCTATAATTTAGTGGTACTTTCTAGGCTCTTAAAATTGAGGTGAGGGTTTAATTCCCCATAGGGCAAGTTCAAGGAATGCAATAACCTTGAAACCTGCTCTGATTTTTTTCCCATATATTATTTCTGGCTGTATACATGTAGGTGCTAAAATTTTAATTTCGTTTTTCTCTAATTGGAGAGTCATTGTGTTAGTGCAACATTGAAACTTGCTCTGATTTCTCTACTGTGATATAATAGTTATATAACTGTATTTCTTAATATATAGAATTAAGGCTAAGTAAACAATGTGAATGTAGGGTCACACTCTAGTCTCATTGTCATACTCTAAATTTCAAAATCTGAGATCCTAGGTTTTTGATTTAAGGTTTAATTAGAATTAAAATAATTCTAGTTCTTAAAGACTTGTTATTTCACATATCAAACAAACAATTAATCTAAAAATCTTCAAATTCAATAAAATTAGCAAGTCATATATTAAAATAGCATACATAAGAAATTTAAAAAATCTAATTAAAAAAATCAGAAAATAGTCAAAGCAGAATCAAAGTATTACTTGGGTTTTTTTAATTCCAAAGACAAGTAGGCTCCTAAATGAGAAAGCAGCCCAAGAATAGCTGGATTGTGCTTCATTTGTTTGAAAAATAATAATAAAACCATTTAGTTTCTTAAAATACATTTTTTTTCCCGAAAATAGTTAACTTTTGATTTGTAATTGTGTATCAGATAACAAGACCACTAGTTTTTACTGGAAAACAAATTAGGACAAAAAAAGAAAAAATAGCTATAGTTGATTCCTCATGCAGCGCTCATAATTTTCATTTTAAAATAGTAGGTTGCAAAGTTTACTAATAATCGGCTGCCACTAGTCAATTGAATATATAGTAATGAATTTACTCATAATTTTGCAGGTTGCATTCCCTGCCTTGGAGGAACTACAAATTTGGAGATTGGAAAGCCTTACAGCTATATGGGAAGGCCAATCCCAATCACTCCTAGTGAAGGAAGCACAAGTTTCCTTTCAAAGCCTAAGGAGCATGAGTGTAAGTAGATGTGAGAAATTGGTGAATGTGATTACCTCCAATATGCTCCCAAGCTTACAGAAGTTAGAAAAACTTGAAGTTGAAGAGATAGTTGCAATTGAAAGGGGACAATTAGGAGAAGAAGATGTAGTGTATGATGAGATCATTGTCTTCTCTCAATTGAAGTACTTGACACTTTCAAACTTGCCAAACCTCAAAAGTTTCACTCATGGATCCAAAGAAGAAGAAGAAACAGTGGAAGCCCTCTTCAACCACAAGGTTTGTACATAGATTCACTATGATAGTAATTAAAATCTAACTATAATTTTTGCCTTAAAAAGAATTTTCTCATTACATTCTAAATAAAACCTGATTCACTGTGGTAGTAATTAAAATCTAACTACAGAAATAATTAAAATCTAACTTGATTTATGCTACCCCAATTACTTTTTTTCTTTTATTTTTTAATTGACACATACACGATTTTTTTATGATTTTTGTTGATTGTGACTGTTAGTTTTGCATCATTCGTGTGCTATTTCTTGTTCTTGTTGCCGCTACTGCACCTTTTGAGCTCCATAAAATTAGTGAAAAGTTGTCCTAATTAATTTTAACCAATCATGAAAACAATTAACTAAAAAAATTTGCCCAAGGAAAAAAAAGTCATGTAAATTTGCAGCACTGTACCAATTTTAAGGTTTATTTTGAATTAAAATAATTCTAGTTCCTAAAGGCTTGTTATTTCATTGATTTCGTATTTAAGAAATTTTAATTCAAAATGTAAACCTATTAAAATTTAAATTAAAACCCAATTAACCATACCATATGTTGTAAAATCTGAAGATTTTAATTCTCCATGAATTTGAGTGAAACCAGTAATTTTAGAAAGCAAAGTCAGTGCAATAATAAAAAATAAAAAAAAATGAAAAACTCTGATGCCGCCCTTTAAATCAGATTTTACCATAAAAATGATTCTCTTGCCGTTGCCTCTTAAAATTTGTTAATTATTTTTAACCAATTATATGAAAACAATTAACTAAAAAAATTTGCCCAAGGGAAATATTTAACTCAAATGCACCACCGTACCAATGAGTATTCTACTCAAATGCACCATGAGCCCCTTTCGGACACACAAGTATTTTACTCAAATGCACCATGAGCTTTGGACATAAAATATTATCATTTTATTTTTATTTTGTCTTGTTGAATAAATATTATCTGTTGTCCCGAAAAAAAGGAAAATACAAGAAGTAAATAAAGGTCAAAAAAAAAATAGTTAAATTTATAGTAAAAATGATAGTTATGGTATTAAAAAATAAAAGATGATGCATTAATGAATTTATGAATTTTTTTGTCATTTTATTTAAAAGAATAAATAAAAGTGGAGTGCAATGGTAGAAAGGTGGAGTGCCAATATTGTCTCTCTTTTTGAAATAATTCTAAAACTAGCTCCCCATTAACTCATATTAAAAAATTAGGAAAGTTTTCAAAATTTAAATAAAAAATATTAAGAAACTCAACTTTTTTCAGACTTCCCAAAAATTAGAAAATGGGCACTTATTGAGGGATGGATGGAGTGACTCTTAATGAGAAAGCAATCTCAGTCAAACTTCATACTCTGAAAACCGAATGAGCTCAAACCCATCTCTAATTCGGCTTTAAAAGTGCAGCTCGATATCACAATTCTTATTCAAATTTCTAAAGAAATCAATTTTGTTTTTTGGGAAATTTTTTTTTCCGGAAATATAAAGAAATCATTTTTTTGAAAACCTACAAAATTACAATTACTATGAAAATTTTATTTATTTTTGGATAAGTGTAATTATTCCGAAAAAAATATATGATGTTCTCCAAACAATCAACCAAAAATCTTGGAGAATGATGTTGACTAACGCCCGTGTATCCAAGTGCCATATTTCACTAATTGAACAGTAAATGCAGAGTATCAGACTAGGACCATCTTACATAATGAGCCACAATTAGTTGACATATTGACAAATTGAAAGGATGCTTTTTAATGCAAATTGAATACTTAATTGTGGCTTATAAATGCATAAACTTGTTAACAAAAAAAATAAAATAAAATTTGAATAAGCTTCAAAAACAGTACGTTGGTTGAATATATTGGGAAAGACATCTCATGCTTTAGTACAAAAGCTATAATTTAGTAGTACTTTCTAGGGTCTTAAAATTGAGGTGAGGGTTTAAGTTCCTATATGGCAAGTTCAAGCAATGCAATAACCTTGAAAGCTGCTTTGATATCTTTCCCCTATTTTATTTCTGGCTGTATACAAGCAGGCGCTAAACCATTTAGTTTCTTAAACTACATTTTTTTTTTTCCCGAAAATAGTCAACTTTTGATTTGTAATTGTGTATCAGATAACAAGACCACTAGTTTTTACCGGAAGGAAAAAAAGAAAAAATAACTATAGTTGACTCTAAAGAAATCATCTTTTTGAAAACCTACAAAATTACAATTACTATGAAAATTTTATTTATTTTTGGATAAGTGTAATTATTCCAAAAAATATATATGATGTTCTCCAAACAATCAACCAAAAATCTTGGAGAATGATGTTGACTAACACCTGTGTATCCAAGTGCCATATTTAACTAATTGAACACTAATTGCAGAGTATCAGATCAGGACCATCTTACATCCTAATGAGCCACAATTAGTTGACATTGACAAATTGAAAGGATGCTTTTATTGCAAATTAAATACTTAATTGTGGCTTATAAATGCATAAACTTGTTAACAGAAAAATAAAATAAAAAATAAAAAATTTGAATAAGCTTCAAAAACTGTACATTGGTTGAATATATTGTGAAAGACACACTTAATGACATTGATAATCTCATGCTTTATTACAAAAGCTATAACTTAGTGGTATTTTATGGGGTCTTAAAATTGAGGTCGAGGGTTTAAGTCCCCATAAGGGCAAGTGGGTATGCCTGAATGTGTTTCTTGTTAAGAATATAAATAAAAAAAATTCTCATGTTTTCAAAAATAATTATTTGCCCAGAATAATTATAAATGTTTTGGAAATATCAATCAATTTTAAAGTTTGTGTACTTATTTTTTTACTTTAATGAAATTTTAATTTATTATGTTCAAGCAATGCAATAACCTTGAAACCTACACTGATTTCTTTCCCCTATATTATTTCTGCAATATACAGTCAGGTGCTAAAATTTTAATTTCGCTTTTCTCTAATTGGAAGTCTGCAACACTAAGAAATAGAGAGTCATTGTGTTATTGCAACAATGAAACCTGCTTTGATTTCTGGCTGTGATATAATAGTTATATAACTGTATTTCTTAATATATAGAATTAAGGCTAAGTAAACAATGTGAATGTAGGGTCACACTCTAGTCTCATTGTCATACCCTAAATTTCAAAATCTGAGATCCTAGGTTTTGGATTTAAGGTTTAATTAGAATTAAAATAATTCTAGTTCTTAAAGACTAGTTATTTCACATATCAAACAAACAATTAATCTAAAAATCTTCAAATTCAATAAAATTAGCACGTCATATATTAAAATAGCATACATAAGAAATTTAAAAAATCTAATTAAAAAAATCAGAAAATAGTCAAAGCAGAATCAAAGTATTACTTGGGTTTTTTTAATTCCAAAGACAAGTAGGCTCCAAAATGAGAGAGCAGCCCAAGAATAGCTGGATTGTGCTTCATTTGTTTGAAAAATAATAATAAAACCATTTAGTTTCTTAAAATACATTTTTTTCCCCGAAAATAGTTAACTTTTGATTTGTAATTGTGTATCAGATAACAAGACCACTAGTTTTACTGGAAAACAAATTAGGACAAAAAAGAAAAAATAACTATAGTTGACTCTTCATGCAGCGCTCATAATTTTCATTTTAAAATAGTAGGTGCAAAGTTTACTAATAATCGGCTGCCACTAGTCAATTGAATATATAGTAATGAATTTACTCATAATTTTGCAGGTTGCATTCCCTGCCTTGGAGGAACTAGAAATTGAGGAATTGAAAAGCCTTACAGCTATATGGGAAGGCCAATCCCAATCACTCATAGTGAAGGAAGCACAAGTTTCCTTTCAAAGCCTAAGGTTCATGTCAGTGTGGGGATGTGACGAATTGGTGAATGTGATTGTCTCCAATGTTCTCCCAAGCTTACAGAAGCTAGAAAAACTTGAAGTCATTGACTGTAATTCAGTGAAAGAGATAGTTACAGTTGAAAGGGGACAATTAGGAGAAGAAGATGTAGTGCATGATGAGATCATTGTCTTCCGTCAATTGAAGTATTTGCATCTTGAAGACTTGCCAAATCTCAAAAGTTTCACTCATGGATCCAAAGAGGATGAAGAAACAGTGGATCAAATCATTCCCAGAGTGGAAGCCCTCTTCAACCACAAGGTATGTACATAAATTTACTGTGATAGTAATTAAAATCTAACTATAATTTTTGCCTTAAAAAGAATTTTCTCATTACTTTCTAAATAAAATCTGATTCATTGTGATAGTAATTAAAATCTAACTATAGAAATAATTAAAATCTAACTTGATTTATGCTACCACAATTACTTTTTTTCTTTTATTTTTTAACTGACACATACATGAATTTTTTTTATGATTTTTGTTGATTGTGACTGTTAGTTTTGCATCATTGTGTGCTATTTCTTGTTCTCATTGCCGCTACTGCCCCTTTTGAGCCCCATAAAATTAGTGAAAAGTTGTCATAATTAATTTTAACCAATCATGTAAACAATTAACTAAAAAAATTTGCCCAAAGAAAAAAGTCATGTAAATTTGCACCACTGTACCAATTTTAGGGTTTATTTCGAATTAAAATAATTCTAATTCTTAAAGGCTTGTTATTTCATTGACTACGTATTTAATAATTTTTAATTCAAAATGTAAACCTCCCGTTAAAAATTAAATTAAAACCCAATCAACTATGTCATTATCTGTCCATATGTTGTGAAATATGAAGATTTTAATTCTCCATGAATTTGAGTGAAACCAGTAATTTTAGAAAGCGAAGTCAGCTTACTAAAAAAAATGAAAAACTCTGCTCTTAAAATTTGTGCAGGCTCAATTATCCAAAAAAAGTATTTGCCAAAAATTAAGCACTCAGTATCTTAAAATGAGATACGATTTCCATTAAATTTTAGAATATAGAAAATGTTTCTTGGTCTAAAACTATAATGAAATTATTCAGTAAATTTGTTTACAATAAACTTGTCTTGTAGAAGAAAATTTGGGCTGCATGCTAGTTAATAAATTTTAGTTTTAAAAGTGCAATGAGCTGCTACCAAACCTTGCACCCTTACATGTAAAGGTTTCAAATCTCAGCGGTACCAATGTATCCAATCAAAACCTGTACAATTTTCCATCACCAGTCTCATATTCAAGTCATTTCACATATGATTCATGCAATTTCTTTTTCTCAACTATTGATCACAAATTTCCAATCACAATACTAACTCCATTAGAATATATTGAGCTAACACAATTGAAATATCCATGATTTAAATATTCCTTAAATATATCAATCACATATCAAGCAAACAATTAATCCAAATTTAAAACCACCAATATATTAAGAAATTTAACAGAAAATAAATATACATTTGAACAATTTAAAAGGACAATTACTCATAAATAAATAGAGTAAACAAAAATCCTAGTATAGATTGAAGAATAGTGAAGTTCCCAATCTCTTTTTTCTTCTCTGGGCTCTTTAAAATGATAGGAGCAGAAAATTGCGATAGAGATATATAATCTTGTTGCAAAAATTTCTAAAACTGGCTATCATTTCAAAGATGAGTTTCTTGAATTTTTGAAACTACAAAATATAATATGTTTAATTTGTAGGTTGCATTCCCTGCTTTGGAAGAATTGAGTATTGTAAAATTGGAAAGCGTTATAGCACTACGGAATGACCAATCACATTCACTCCTAGTGAATGAAGGAGGAAATTCCTTCCGGTTCTTAAAGTGCATAGATTTCTATTTTATTATATGTTTCGGTTAAGATTTTTCTTTCTCCAAATTTGGATTTGGATGGGATGTGCTATGCAACTTAATCTATATAAATAATGTGAATGTACAGAATTTCTTTTTTACAACATATAGAATTTCTTAATATATAGAATTTAGTCTGGTGGACTGAGGAAACAATGTGAATGTAACAATCCAGGGTCTCTTTGTCACGCCTGAATTTTAAAATCTGAGACCCCACATTTTGTATTTAAGGTTTATTTCAAATTAAAATAATTCTAGTTCTTAAAAGCTTATTATTTCATTGAGTTCATATTTAATAATTTTTAATTAAAAATGTAAACTTCCATTAAATTTTAAATGAAAACCCAATCAACTAATATACTCACGAAACATTGTATATGAAACATATTCCTAGTCAATTTATGCATTTGGATGTCTTAAAACTTGTAACGTACAGTATCATTTAAATAAGATTTTAGCATAAAGATGAACCTCTTGCAATTGGATTTTCAAATTTGCACATTTATCGAAAAAAACATTTTCCAAAAGTAAAGCACTCATTATCATAAAATAAGATTCGTTTTCTGTTAAATTTTAGAATCTAGAAATGTTTCTTGGTTTCAAACCATACTAAAAAATTTCAGTAACTTCGTTTTCAAGAAACTGGTCTTAGTAGAAGAAAATTTGGGCAGCATGCTTAATAAAACTTTGAACTTTAAAAAGACATAAACAAGATATGTCCTAACTCCTATAGTGCAATGAGCAACCAATGTAGGGGCAGCATGCTTGTAGTGATATTTTTAATCTTTTCATTTTCTTTCTAGGTCTAGTTAAGGGAAACAAGAAGTGCCACTCTTGTGATTGACAAATCCCAAAATTTAACGCAATATGTAATGAATTTCGCAGGTTAGGTTCCCAGCTTTGGAGGAATTGAAGATTGAAAATTTAGAAAGCCTCACAGCCATATGGGACAATCAATTATGCCCAGGATCAGAAGGACAAGATTCCTTTCAGCTGCTAAGGCTCATCCATGTGAAATGCTCTGAGAAATTAGTGAATGTAATTCCACCAAATGCTATCCCAATGTTACATAACCTTGAAAGTCTCCAAATTGTATCATGTGATTCAGTGGTATCTGGAGTTGAGATGGTTGCCATTGAAGAAGGCGATGATGAGATCACCATGTTCCCCGAGTTAAAGAATTTGGAACTTAAATATTTGTCAAACCTCAAAAGTTTCTGCTACAATACTGCTGGATCAAAAGAACAAGAAGAATGCGATGGATCAAAAGAAGAACAAGAAGAATGCGGTGGTAAGGTCTTGGTGTTCTCTCAATTAAGGACTATGAGACTTGAAGACTTACCCAAGCTCAGTAGTTTCTGTTGCTCCAGAAGAGGAGGAGAAGAATTGGTAGTGGAGGAGAGTAATATTGACCAACGAAAAGCACTCTTCAACCACAAGGTACATACACCCTATGTCCTTGATTAATCCTAATTAATCATTAGGGGTGCACTCAACAACTGAAATTATTAATGGATTTCAATTAGATTTCCACCAAACATTGGTGGCTTTGTGTTATTTCACTCACATGTCCTTGAATTTAGTCTCAGATAAATTTCAGTTTTCTTTTTTCTTCCTATCATTTAAATCTTCATACTAACTCAACTACTCTTAGGAGATCAATGTAAATTTTTTAAACCGAGTATGTGTGAATAATTACATTTAAAAATCTCAAAAAAGATTAGTGTAATTTAACTTTGAAATTATAATCAACTTCAAACTAAAAATTGAATAAATCTTTGTGAGTACTACCAGTTCAAGTGTTGAGACTTGCATCAACGAAGACAATATGACAAATCATCAGGCCGAACAAAATACTACAATATTCACTTATTTATTGGACTATCTTAATTATTTGATGATTTGGTTATAAATTAGGAAATATTGATTCCAGGAGTATTCTCCTAATCTCATCCAAGTATTATAATTCAAAAGAAAACCATACATTAAGCAACCGAAAAAGGAGAGGGGAGAAAAAATAACACCATGTGTGAACCCCTATGAATATATCATGTGTTTGTGTTTTAATCTGTTTGTTGATTTGTTTAATCTGCTTATACATGATTATCTAAATAAAATAAGAACTAAAATGAAATATTACAAGCATTAATTGTGAAGCTCATTTATGAAATCAATAGATACCATGTAATTCTTGGAAGAAAACTTAAACCATTAATTTTGGGTTCCATTATTTTCAAGGGAAGCTATGCCCTCTTTCCCTCCTTTTTGTTCCTCCTAATGACTAAGATATACTAGTTGAGTTATTGGTATTTTCACCTGCAAACTGATATTTTGCAGGTTAAATTTCCTTGCTTGGAGGAATTGTTTATGAAGAGATTAGACAGCTTGGAAGAGATATGGCACAGCACAATTTCAAACGACTCTGTTTCCAAACTGAGAAAGTTAGAATTGGAATGGTGTCGCAAGCTATTAAATGTTTCTTCAACAGAATTGCATACAAGTTTCCAGAACCTAGAAGAAGTCGAAGTGCTACAATGTGAGTCCCTGCAAGAGGTATTTAAAGTTGAAGGGTCAAAGGGGGCAGAAGGAACAGTTGTGTTCCCTCAATTAAGGACCATGAGACTTGAAGACTTACCCAAGCTCAGTAGTTTCTGCTGCTCCACAAGAGGAGGAGAAGAATTGGTAGTGGAGGAGAGTAATATTCCCCAACGACAAGCACTCTTCAACAACAAGGTACATACACCCCCGTGTCCTTAATTAATCTTAATTAACCATTAGTGGGTACACGAAACCTTGTGTTTTGGCTTTGTGTTATTTCACTCACATGTCCTTGAATTTAGTCTCAGATAAATTTCAGTTTTCTTTTTTCTTCCTATCATTTAAATCTTCATACTAACTCAACTACTCGTAGGAGATCAATGTAAATTTTTTAAACCGAGTATGTGTGAATAATTACATTTAAAAATCTCAAAAAAGATTAGTATAATTTAACTTTGAAATTATAATCAACTTCAAACTAAAAATATGCCGTGATGCATAATTTCATTTTTTTGGTGGTCAGGTCTCATTTTTAGTTTGAACCATTATTTTCAAGGGAAGCTCTGCCCTCTTTCCCTCCTTTTTGTTCCTCCTAATGACTAAGATATACTGGTTGAGTTATTGGTATTATCACCTGCAAACTGATATTTTGCAGGTTAAATTTCCTTGCTTGGAGGAATTGTTTATGAAGAGATTAGACAGCTTGGAAGAGATATGGCACAGCACAATTTCAAACGACTCTGTTTCCAAACTGAGAAAGTTAGAATTGGAATGGTGTCGCAAGCTATTAAATGTTTCTTCAACAGAATTGCATACAAGTTTCCAGAACCTAGAAGAAGTCGAAGTGCTACAATGTGAGTCCCTGCAAGAGGTATTTAAAGTTGAAGGGTCAAAGGGGGCAAAAGGAATGGTTGTGTTCCCTCAATTAAGGACCATGAGACTTGAAGACTTACCCAAGCTCAGTAGTTTCTGCTGCTCCACAAGAGGAGGAGAAGAATTGGTAGTGGAGGAGAGTAATATTCCCCAACGACAAGCACTCTTCAACAACAAGGTACATACACCCCCGTGTCCTTAATTAATCTTAATTAACCATTAGTGGGTACACGAAACCTTGTGTTTTGGCTTTGTGTTATTTCACTCACATGTCCTTGAATTTAGTCTCAGATAAATTTCAGTTTTCTTTTTTCTTCCTATCATTTAAATCTTCATACTAACTCAACTACTCTTAGGAGATCAATGTAAATTTTTTAAACCGAGTATGTGTGAATAATTACATTTAAAAATCTCAAAAAAGATTAGTATAATTTAACTTTGAAATTATAATGAACTTCAAACTAAAAATATGCCGTGATGCATAATTTCATTTTTTTGGTGGTCAGGTCTCATTTTTAGTTTGAACCATTATTTTCAAGGGAAGCTCTGCCCTCTTTCCCTCCTTTTTGTTCCTCTTAATGACTAAGATATACTAGTTGAGTTATTGGTATTATCACCTGCAAACTGATATTTTGCAGGTTAAATTTCCTTGCTTGGAGGAATTGTTTATGAAGAGATTAGACAGCTTGGAAGAGATATGGCACAGCACAATTTCAAACGACTCTGTTTCCAAACTGAGAAAGTTAGAATTGGAATGGTGTCGCAAGCTATTAAATGTTTCTTCAACAGAATTGCATACAAGTTTCCAGAACCTAGAAGAAGTCGAAGTGCTACAATGTGAGTCCCTGCAAGAGGTATTTAAAGTTGAAGGGTCAAAGGGGGCAGAAGGAACGGTTGTGTTCCCTCAATTAAGGACCATGAGACTTGAAGACTTACCCAAGCTCAGTAGTTTCTGCTGCTCCACAAGAGGAGGAGAAGAATTGGTAGTGGAGGAGAGTAATATTCCCCAACAACAAGCACTCTTCAACAACAAGGTACATACACCCCCGTGTCCTTAATTAATCTTAATTAACCATTAGTGGGTACACGAAACCTTGTGTTTTGGCTTTGTGTTATTTCACTCACATGTCCTTAAATTTAGTCTCTGATAAATTTTAGTATTCTTTTTTCTTCCTGTCATTTAGATCTTCTTACTAAGTCAACTACTCTTAGGAGGTCAATGTAAAATTTTTAAACTGAGAGTATGTGTGAATAATTAAATTTAAAAATCTCAAAAAAATTAATATAATTTAACTTTGAAATTATAATCAACTACAAACTAAAAATATGCAGTGATGCATAATTTCATTTATTTGGTGGTCTGGTCTCATTGGGATGACAACTATGAAGCTACCATAAAATTGAATAAATCTTTGTGAGTACTACCAATAGTGTTGAGACTTGCATCAATGAAGACAATATGACAAATCGTCAGGCGGAACAAAATACTACTATATTCACTTATTTATTGGACTATTTTAATTATTTGATGACTTGGTTATAAATTAGGAAATATGGATTCCAGGAGTATTCTCCTAATCTCATCCAAGTATTATAATTCAAAAGAAAACCACACATTAAGCAACCGAAAAAAGGAGGGGGAAAAAATAACACCATTTGTGAACTCCTATGAATATATCATGTGATTGTGCTGTAATCTGTTTGTTGATTTATTTAATCTGCTTATACATCATTATCTAAATAAAATAAGAACTAAAATCATTAATTATTACAAGCATTAATTGTGAAGCTCATATATGAAATCAGTAGATACCAAGTAATTATTGGAAGAAAACTTAAAACCATTATTTTAAAGGGAAGCTGTGCCCTCTTTCCCTCCTTTTTGTTCCTCCTAGTGACTAAGATATACTAGTTGAGTTATTGGTACTATCACTTGCAAACTGATATTTTGCAGGTTAAATTTCCTTGCTTGGAGGAATTGTTTATGACGAAATTAGACAACTTGGAAGAGATACGAGTGCCAAATTTCACTAATTGAACACAAAGTGTGATATTATAAATGTGTGACAGGCTTCTATAGCCTAATGAACCACAATGAGTTGACATATTCACAAATTAAAAGGATGCTTGTTATTGCAGATTGAATACTTATAACAAAATATACTAATATCTGGCCCAACTGTTGGATTCTTTATTACAAAATGTAACATAAATAATGAAATCTGCTGGTCGTATTGAGGATCTGATAATTCATAATTTGAAAAGTCCTACTACAGCAATATGGAAACAATGTGAATGTATAGAATTTCTTAATATATAGAAACGTGCTATTTCATTGATTTGATATTTAATAATTTTTAATTCAAAATGTAAACCTTCCTTACTTTTATATGAAAACCCAGTCAACTATATACTCACGATGAAACATTGTGGGTGAAACATATTCCCAATCAATTTATGCATTACGATGTCTTAAAACTTGTAACAAACAAGATTATTATATGTGCATAAGTTGTGAAAATTTTATTTCTCTTTGAATTTGAGTGAAACCAGTCATTGTAGAAAGAAAATTCAGTGTGCTAAAAAAAAATTCAGCTCACTACGATTTAAATAAGATTTTGGCATAAAGATGAACCTCTTGATTGGCTTTTCAAATTTGTGCAATTATCCAAAAAAAACATTTTCCAAAAGTAAAGCACTTATTATCATAAAATAAGATTTCCTTTCTGTTAAATTATAGAATATAGAAATGTTTCTTAGTTTCAAACCATACTAAAATTTTTCAGTAACTTCGTTTTCAATAAACGAGTCTTAGTAGAAGAAAATGAGCTACCAATGTGCGTGTTCTAATTGAAATTTCCTTTATGTTCCTCTTAATGACTAAGATATACTTGTTGAGTTATTGGTATCATCACGTGGAAACTGATTTTTGCAGGTTAAATTTTCTTTATTGGAGGAATTGTTTATGAAGAATTTAGACAACTTGAAAAACTTGATGACATTAACAATCTCATGCTTTAACACCAAAGCAATAATCTAGTGGTATTTCTTTGCCATCCAAAGTGAAGTTTTTACACCCTTTACATCCAAGTTTACAAATCTCAACAGTATCAATCTATCCAATCAAACAATTTTCAATACAACCCATATAACAAATTACTGAACTCACCTGTCAAATTTAGTTCATTGCACTTGTGAATTCAGACAATTTCTTTATCCCAAGAATTGATCACAAATTTTCAATCATAAATTTCCAATCACAATAGTAAGTCCTTAAGAATATATTGAGCTAACACAATTGAAATGTATTCGGTAACACTTAATCATAATTCTGAATTGTCATATGCATGTATCATAACTCCATTATTTATGCATTTGTCAAAAATATCAGTCACATATCAAACAAACAATCAAACTTAATAAAAATTGCACGTGTCATATATTAAAATACCATAAGTGAGGTATATTCATGAATATATATATATTAAGCTTTCAATTTACCCTAGGGCATCACGACTCAAATATATTATGTATATTAGGAACTATATGAATCACATTACAAACCCACCTATATATCAAGGAATTTAATACAAAATAAATTTATATTTGAACAATTTAAGAGGACAATTATTCATAATAAACAGAGTACATGAAAATCCTATAATATAGATTGAAGAATAGTGAAATTCCCCTTCTCTTTTTGCTTTTCTCTTCTCTGGGCTCTTTAAAACGATAGGAGCAGAAACTTGTGATATAGATATAATCTTGAAGTTTTGTAACTACAAAATATATGTTGAATTTTGTAGGTTGCATTCCTTGCCTTGGAGAAATTGAGTATTACAAATTTGGAAAGCCTTGAAGCCATATGGAATGACCAATCACAATCACTTCTATTGAATGAAGCAGAAGATAACTTCCAGTTCCTGAAGTGCATAGAGGTCAATGGATGTAACAAAATGGTGAATGTGATTCCAGCCAATGGTCTCCCAAGGTTACAGAACCTAACACAACTCCACATTTCTAAACGTCACAATTTGATAAATGTATTCTCATCATCCATGGCAAAATATCTTGTGCACCTCCAAGAATTAAAAGTGACCGATTGTGAGAAGATGGAAGAGATTGTTGCAGTTGAAAGGGGACTATTAAGCGAAGACGGAGAAGAAGATCTAGGGCATGATGAGATCATTGTCTTCCATCAATTAAAACACTTGACCCTTCAACAATTGCCAAACCTCAACAGTTTCTGCAGCATTTGTGGATCCGAGAAGGAAGAAGAAATTGCGGAGCAGAATTTTGGCAAAATGGAAGCCCTCTTTAATTACAAGGTACATGTGTTCTATCTCCTAAATAACAACATAATAGCTATTAAGCAGGGACTATTGTTTATCCAAATTGGGATTCTCAGTTCTCACAACCCTTTTATATGATGAATTGACGTAATTGTCTTTTTCACTGCTCTATTTGCTAACTAGTTCAACAAACGTTGCAAGGAATGAAGATTCACCTACATATTATGTACATTGTTAGAATCCGATCCTTCACTACACATCCGAAGATCAAACTGATGTCATTTCAGTATCTACTAGGCACTTCGTTTTTGCCTTTAAAAGAATTTTCTCTTTAGTTTTCAATTACTTTCTAAATAAAATCTGATTCACTGTGCTTGGGTTGGAGCCTGCTATCCAATCAGAAAACAATATTAGCTTTTGCATACCTAAATTAACAATTTTTAGATCACAATATGATTTGAATTGTAAATTTATTCTCTTGATGAACATTTTTGTACAACGCTAATTCAATTCAGTTTTTTTTTTAGTTAATGACATTTTTAATCCTAACTCTATAAATAAATGATTATTTTTCTCAAATGCAATATCTATCCTTTGAAATATGGAATAATATATATATTTTAATCTTAACCCCTCTCTAATTTTTTTTTTTTCTCTTTCAATGAACCCAATTATAACTTAAGTGACAAGTATCTGTATTATATAATGGACAATATTTAGGTTATCACCGGTGATGATGTACACCATCTCATATTTGGACAAATAATTATAATTATAATTACAACCATCTTTGATTTTGTAATGAAAGAAGACGTGTTCATTTGTTATTAATCTATATCAGTTGTGAAGACCGTGTACATCTTACCGATGAATACTTAAATATTATTCTTATATAATTACAATCTAAATCTTCAAGTACACATTCTCCTCTTCTTCTTCTTTTTTTTTTTTTTTTTTTTTTTTTAACCAAGGCAAGAAGATTTCGCTACATATATAGAATTCAAACTCACTGTAATAGTATTAAATATTAATATTTTTTTTTTTGGCACCAAAATATTAATAATATATTTGGTGCAAGCTAGTAACTAAAATAGTATTAAATATTAATAATATTTTTTTTTGGCACCAAATATTAATAATATATTTGGTGCAAGCTAGTAACTAAAATTTAACTATAGAAATAATTATAAATAATTAAAAATAGAATGGATATCATACTACCGCAAATTTTTTTTTTTTTTTTTTTCACTGACACGTGCATGAATTTGGGGATTATTTTTGTTGATTGTGTTAGTTTTGCATCAATGCCGCCAGTGTCCCTTTTGAGCTCCATAAATTAGTGAAAAGTTTTCACAAGCCAATCAGTTTGGACTTCTTAATTAATTTCAACCATTTATATGGAACCATTTAATTAAAAAAAAAAAGTCTTGTAAATTTGCACCACGTACCAATGAGTATTCTGCTCAAATGCACCATGATCCCCTTCTGGACACACAATAGAGCTGGCCTTGCCTATTTGACTTCGTATTGCTAAATAAGAGCTTTGGACATAAAATATTATCATTTTATTTCTTATTTTGTCTTGTTGAATAAATATTATCTTTTGTCAAAAAAAAAAAAAAAAAAGAGTTAAATTTATGAATTTTTTTTGTTATTTCCTTTAAAAGAATTAAAAAAGTGAATTGCAAATATCGGCTCCCTTTTTTGAAATTCTAAAACTAGCTTCTAGGCATTAACTCACATTATAAACTCAGGAAAGTTTTCAAAATTTAAATTATATATATATATATATATATATATATATATATATATATATATTAAGAAAACTCACATTATAAAGTCAGGAAAATTTTCAAAATTTAAATTATATATATATATATAAAGAAAACTCAACTTTTTTCATCGACTTTCACAAAATTAGAAAATGAATGGGGTGACTCTAATTAATTATTACATATTTGAAAAACAGAAATCCAATTGATATTCTTAAAATTCTTTTGATTGTTAAATAGTATTCTCAATTAGTCTAGCAAATTTTCGGCATGAAAAGCATCTTCATTGACTTCTAATATCGACTGATACTGCATTACTCATTACTGTTTAGTTGAATCTAACCAAACATCACCTTGAACATTCAAAACTGACATCAATTTTATTCAAGCCTATATCTCTTAATTTCAAATTCACTCATTTATCTAAATTAACTATTACATTCTAACAAGTCTAATTTAGTGGGGTATTTTAGTTTGACCTTGTGTGATTTTTCCCACATTAATTAAAATAAAATGGGATGTAATGAATTTTGCAGGTTAGGTTTCCAGCTTTGGAGGCATTGAAAATTGGAAAATTGAAAAGACTCACAGTGATATGGGACAAACAATTATTCCTAGGTTCAGAAGCACAAGAATCCTTTCGGCAGCTAAGATTTGTCACCGTTCATGAATGCGATAAACTAGTGAATGTAATTCCACCCAATGCATTCCCAATGTTACAGAACCTTGAAAGTCTTGAAGTTGTATCATGTGATTCAATGGTATATGGAGCAGAAGTGGCTGCTATTGAAGAAGGCAGTGTGATTCAATGGTTTCCTCAATTAAAGAAATTGGAGCTTAAAAAATTGCAAAACCTCAAAAGTTTCTGCTACAGTAATATTGGTGGATCCAAAGAAGAAGAAGAAGAAGAAGGTGGTGGTAAGACCTTGGTGTTCCCTCAATTAAACACTATAAGACTTGAAGAGTTGCCACAGCTCAGCGGTATCTGCTGCTCAAGAAGAGGCGGAGAAGAAAGTGCACTGAAGGAGAGTAATATTTCCCAACAACAAGCTCTCTTCAACTACAAGGTACATACGCACCTGTGTCCTTAATTAATCATTTGGTGCACTCAAAACAGCTGAAAATTTTAAAATGGATTTCAATTAGATTTCCACTGAACGTTTTGTGTTTTGGTGGCTTTGTGTTGTTTCATCAACTGAAATTTTTAATGGATTTTGGCACATCAATTACATCCATCTATTTATGTAGAAGAGCCTCAAAAGTCAAAAGCAGAGTTTCAAATGAATTCCACTGGCTAATATGCAATTATATATATGATTTGAGAATAATTTTATTTACGTGTAGAACATGAAATGGAATTACAACTGAAAACTAGAATATGCATGACAAAGGGGTAGTCATTATTGCTTGGTTTGATTTAAATGTATTTTTATGAATATATATACATGCTCTACATAGTGATTGATTTCTGGAAGCAGGTTGAATTTCCTATCTTGTTGGAGGAATTGGTACTAGGTGATGAAAGCAACTTTGAAGGTATTTGGAAAAATGGGTACAAAGTAGGATCCATGAAGGTGGAAAAATACAACAACTTAGTGAATGCTTGTACCCTGCTACAGTGGTTTGAGGTAGTTGAAAAACTCAGTCTGGAATCTTGTGACTCATTGGAGGTTATCTTCAACCTTGAAGGACTTGGTGCCATTGAAAGAAAGGCAATTGTGTCTTCTCAAGCAAAAGAATTGACACTGATTGATTTACCTAAATTGGAGCGTATTTGGATAATGGAATCTCAGGGGCTTTTGGGGTTTCACAACCTAACGACTTTGAGAGTTTATAAATGCAACAGCCTGAGGTATGTATTCTCACTCTCAATAGCAAGAGGTCTCACACAACTCAGATATCTAGACATTGAAGAATGTAGTGTGATGGAAGAAATAGTTAGAAGTGAAGGACAAGGAGAAGAAGATGACATGGAGGAAATTGTGTTCTCTCAACTAGAGAATCTGAGGTTGAGGAAGCTACCAAACCTTACATGTTTTTGTGGGACAAATAATGCTTTTAATTTCCCATCCTTGGAGGAGGTTAGGGTGGAGGAATGTCCCAAATTGCAGACCTTCACATCTGGAGGCATAACCACATCTGGAGGCATAACCTTAAGAATTGATTTTGAGGACCAACACGATGTGAGCGACCTTAATAGCCATGTGCAGCGGTGGTTGGTTGGGAAAGGAAAGGTAAGAATGAAATTTTAGTGAAAAAATGATTCTGCCAATGCTTTTCATATAACACATCTACTTCTGTTTGATTCAGGAATCAGAAGAGGATGATGATGATGAAGATGATGAAGATGATGATGATGATGATGATGAAGAAGATGATGAAGATGATGATGATGATGATGATGAATAGCCATGATCAGCGGAGGATAATAGCCATGTGCAGAGGTGGTTGGTTGGGAAAGGAAAGGTACGATGAAATTTTAGTAAAAGATGTTGTTTTCCAGCATAGTAGTGGTCAAATGTTGACTAGTGAAAAAATGATTGTGCCAATGCTTTTCATATAACCAGTCTACTTATGTTTGATTCTCAGGAACAAGCGGAGGATAATTAGAAACAACAAGTCTTGATGATGATGTGAAGGCCAAAAAGTGTGCATTGAGTGCATCAGACTTTGTATTTATATTTGTGTGGCGTGTTTGGTGAGTAAAGTTGTGTCAGTGTGATTGATAAAACATAATAAATAAATAATAATAATAATAAACTTAAAAGGTGCATTTTTATTAATTCATTGTTTGATACAATTGATGTTGTATTTGATCCTAGTAAGAAACCGTACAATTATTTTGTATGTATTATCAGATACTGTACTATTTAACATTACAATTGATGTTGTATTTTGTTGTCTTGATTTACTTTATTCTCTATTTCTTTAAAAATCCTGCATCATAGTTAGGCATGTGGGCCCATTGTAAGTTTTTGAAATAATTTTTATTTTTCAGAAAATTGAAAATAAAAAACTTCAAAAAAATAAAAAAAACTTGTTTGGTTGTCATTTTTCTGTAAATTAAGTAATAAAAATTCAGTCATAAAAAAAGTTTATTTTCAAATTTTTATAATTATATGCATAAACATCCCTAACTTTTGAATTTTTGTAGCAAATTGTCCATGATTGTCAATTTTGATATTTTTTATAAAACCCAAAATACCCTCAATAAATATGTAAATTAATATATATATATATATCTATATTAATTTTGCTTTATGGGAATTTTAGGAATTTTAATCTTCAAATTGAGAAAATGTCCTTATTTGTCCAATTTGAAAAATGTAAAGTTTTTTTAACATGACTAAAAATTTGCACATTTTCTATATAGTAGGGTTCTTTTTCTTTTCTGTTTTTTTTGGCTCTTTATCTTTTTTATTCTATCAAAGACCTTTAAATAGTAAGAAGAGACAATTAAGTGGAAACTTAAGACAAATTGGCGTCAAATTTTTTCTAAATTTTGAAAAGAAAAAAAAAATGAAATACAAATCTTCTAATTTTTGTTCCTTTTGTGTATAATTAATAATAGCAGTGAAAAACGAGCTCAAGTAGTCAAGCTTATTTTGAGTTTTAATTCATTTCTAAAATTTATATCCATTTGTCGAAACAATGGTAAAAAATCTATACAAAAAAATGTTGAATAACAAAATAAAGTAGATTAGAGGTGAATGGAATTCAATCCTCAAATGGAATTATATCCATTTGTCTGATGTTTAATTATCTTATATTGGACTTCAATTCTTTTTTTTTTTTTTGGCAAGTGTGTATTGGACTTCACTTGTCTTGAACTTTTTTAATTCTTAGTAGTTATTTATTTATTTATTTATCAATTGATGAGTTGTTTTTATATTATTGTTTTATCAAATTTTATCTTTGAAGAAAATGAAAGGAATGGTGCTTCCAACATTTTGCAGTTTATTTTTTTCAATTAATATAGTTCCTTAATAAATGTAGTAGGACCAAAAGTAGTGTCTATAGTTGGTTGTTAAAAATAACACGTTATCCATTAATTTATTTATTACCACCACAAGCTATTTCCTGTCATACTCCAAAAACCACCAAGATTGCATTCAATTTCTTTTCATCTTCTATAAATCTTAGGATAAAAAAAAAAAAAAAAAAAAAACGCAACTGCCACATGCTTTTATTTTATCAATACATTACTTTACCTTCCGAATAAAAAATAAAATAAAAAAGAACGAAAAAAAGAGGGAGAGAAGAAAGAAAGAAACCCTAGAAATGGGGTTTTGGATATCAAACTGTCTCGGCCATGAAAGCTGTTTTTCATCACTTCATAAAACAAGATGAAACAAGAAACAGTTGCTTCGATATTCATGACATCAAACGAGAAATGAACAGGAAAACATAGAAAAAGGAGAGGCCATAGAAATGTTTTGGAGGCAAAAAAGCATGTGATTATGATACCAAGGAAAATCTTTTCTCTACAATAACAGGATCAAGATCATTATATTCTAGCCTAGTATACACCACCAACATCCATTTCAAGCCCTATTTACAGTGCATCATTTCTATATCCAAGTCTTCCAGAAACCACCAAACAAGCAGCTAGTACTTGCACTCTCAAGCAAAAACTGCTTTTTTCTTCTTGTTTGAATGAGGCCTTGGAACTTGTTCACTTATCATGAGAAGGTAAAGTAAGGGAAAGATCGAGTGATACTGGGAATTCACCACCATCATTGTTTTTCTTGCTCGCCACAGAACTTGGAACCTTGTCTTGGTTATGCTTTTCTTCCACAATCCCAAGAAATGAAGGCCTGAGCCGCTGCGTTGTCAAATTTTTTCCAGCCCCTAATGAAAGTTGAAGATCTAAAAACTCAAACCCCAGCTGATCCTTGTAATCTGATGCCATAACTTGCGATTTTGAGGACATGACCTCTGACATGCCACCCACTGGACCTTGACTTGCTGAAACTCCTTGCTTTCTCTCAGTAACTTCATGTTCTTTCTGCAATTAGAACAAGTAGAAATTAGCACCGATTTTACAAAATCAGGGAAGAATATTTAAGCTTTGAAATTTTAGCATTGATAGATGATTATAATAGTGTGAGAAAATACAAGCACCAATCCTAAGCCACCAACCAAATAGATTTTTTTTTTAATCCAAGGCAACAACAGCCAAATAGATTGGGCTAAGTCATTTTCTGCCATTCAACTTTATTACAACATGTACTGGCATACTTCACTAAATCATTGGCCAAAATGTCTCTTGCTATTAACATCGTTTATTCATTTCCCTTTTGTATTTCAGTGAGTGCAGACACACAACTCAACACACACACCCCCATTACGCCCCAGTGGAGACCTGAACCCTCAATTCATTTTACAAACATTCTATGGAACATGTTTTTTGCTGCCAAGAATTCCATTCTATTTAGCATAGTTACTTTTTAGCCATTTAGTAGATTTCAGTTTATTTTTTAAAATATTAAACATACAGTACATACCACAACAGCAGCGCTTCTCCACTGTCAATTTTGTTTCTGTTTTATGAAATTACATCTCTTCAGTACATGATGTTCCAAAGAAGTTACTTGAAAAGAGAGAGAGAGAAAGAGAGAGTATATTATGGGCATTCCATATAATTTAACACAAGAACTTTGAATTCTGAATCAATTTCATAATTATAATGACTAATTAATCCCTGTACATTCGTCACCTAGACCTAGATTGTCAACAACCAACATACATATTTTCCTCATCCGTGTTCACATTTAAAAATGTTAAAACTAATCAGAAACCAAAGATAGAATATGCAAACAATTCTAACAAAACAATGAAGACGCAAATGTCATCAAAGTCGTTTCCATTTTTAGATAAAAAAAAATTCCTTTCTAGTATTTCTACATAGGCCGTTGGTTCATCATTTTATGGAAAAGGGGGTGAGAAGCCCTAAGTTTCCAAGAAATGGGTTTTGTAGATCAATGTCAAAAAGTTCCCCGACTATTCATTTGAAACCACCTACATTTTTCCTAAATATGCCCACTAAGTTGGTCCAAACCAGTGTGAAAGTCAAGGACTCGATGCAAGTCCTTGATGTAAGCTAATTATGATTAGACAATTAGTAGTTCACTTGTCTCCGCATGAACTATCCACAAACTAGTCATTTCTCCATTTTTTCCAAGAATTCCATTCTATTTAGCATGGTTACTTTTTAGCCATTTAGTACATACCACAACAGCAGCGCTTCTCCACTATCAATTTTGTTTCTGTTTTATGAAATTACATCTCTTCAGTACATGATGTTCCAAAAAAGTTACTTAAAAAGAGAGAGAGAGAGAGAGAGAGAGTATATTATGGGCTCGACTCTTTTCACTATGCAAATACATTCCCACGGCATTCCATATCATTTAACACAAGAACTTTGAATTCTGAATCAATTACATAATTATAATGACTAATTAATCCCTGTACATTCGTCACCTAGACCTAGATTGTCAACAACAAACATACATACTTACCTCATCCGTGTTCACATTTAAAAATGTTAAAATAATCAGAAACCCAAGATAGAATATGCAAACAATTCTAGCAAAACAATGAAGACGCAAATGTCATCAAAGTCGTTTCCTTTTTTAGATAAAAAAAAAAAAAATTCCTTTCTAGTATTTCTACATAGACCGTTGGTTCATCATTTTATGGAAAAGGGGGTGAGAAGCCCTAAGTTTCCAAGAAATGGGTTTTGTAGATCAATGTCAAAAAGTTCACTCAATGCAAGTCCTTGTTGTAAGCTAATTATGATTAGACTATTAGTAGTTCACTTGTCTCCATATGAACTATCCACAAACTAGTCATTTCTCCATTTTATCATCAACCTTGATTAAGTTGTTTCATGCGGTTAATAATGTTTATTTTGTGTCCAAAATTTCTTCACATGTTTGACAGCACAAATATCATTATGGCTTTAAAGTATAACCCTTGCTCTTTTAATACCCTTCCTTTATTTTTTTTAAACTTTTGTACTTGATAAATTTAACTCATGTAAAATATTTAATTTAATTAAAGTTATTATATTTTTTGGGCAATTACTTGGTGCAATAGTAAAATTCATAGTTGAGCGTAGGAACTGAGATATAGGTTCTAGACTTCAGAGTAATCACTTGTACAAATAATGACAAAGTTTTGGTCTGCATCTAGTGTAAAACCTCCCAGCACTCTGCGTTGCCAGACAATCAGTGGGTAATGACCTTTAAAGTTGACACTATCCCCCTCGTTAAGCCTACACTTTTACTGCCAACTGAAAAACAATTATACAATTTAGTAACTTAAAAGCTTAAACCATTTATAACTCATTAACTCTATGCTAAAGAGAATAAAGGCATTAACCAAAGGAAATAAACAAGAGGGAGAGAATCCATTTATCATAACAACAAATAGCAGTAGAAATAAATACTATCGAAGAGGTGTTGATGAGAATGTTGCTTATCCCCATGCATGACCTTTTGTAGACATTATTTACTTGATGAAGATGTTCAATATAGTTCAATTTAATTATTTTACCACCTGCTAAGCAGCCTAAGCCTACATTTTTTCTCCCAAAAGAAAATTAATCATATGATCCACTAAAATACAAGCTGAACCTTTTTGTAAATTTTACTGCCAAAAGACAATTAATCATATGAACAACTATAATACAAGCCGAACCTTTTTTGTAACCGTACCCAAAAGTTAATGCAGGCAATAATTAAATAGGAACAAAGCAAGAAATATATAACAAGATCAAAGTGCAATGGAAACAAATATTACCAGAAAGGTATTCGTTTGTTGCACATCGCTGCACAACTGCTCTGCTTCCATTGGAATCCTTGATAGCAAAACACCGTCATCTCTGCTTGGTTGATGAATATAATTTGCTTCTGAACTGAAACACTTCTGTTCAGAAGAGTGTAATATAAGTTTACGATTCCCATCCTTTCTAGTAGAAGAAACAGAGGGCAACTCCAGAGGATCGATGTAAGTAGATGATCGTTCTACATTGTAGAGTAACTTAGCTGTAGACAAAAATTCACTTGGCTTTCCAGAAGAATACATGTGTCGAGACCCAAACATACCAAGTGAGGCCAAATTCTGGTCCAAGGGTACATCATTCAAGCTGGGGTTAGAAGTTTTATTTTGAGAGCCAAGACATTCTACATTGTTGACCTTCCTTTCTCTAAAAACACCCCATAAGAAAAACAACTTATTCCAACCTGCCAAAAACATGACATACAACTGAGAAAATGCCAATGCATAAGCTTGCATGAGTTTGACAATCTTAAAGAAAATCAAAGAGCATGAAGATTCGGCCTTACACTGGGAATTTTCAGGAAGAACATTGGATGAAAATATTAAAAGTTCAATTCCATCAAATTTCCCTATAAGAGCTAAATCATAATTGATCATGCACTCCAACATGCTCTTATAATTTCTTCCATAGCTGCAAGAAAGGCATATGAAAAGGTTAAAAAATAAGTCTGCAAGGAAGATGGCGCCTATAATGCATATAAGGAAAAGCAAATATGCCAAAGAAAAAAAAAAAACAAAAAAACAAAAAAAAAAAAAACCTTTCCAGATCTTCCGCAAAGAAGTAAAGCCCAATGCTGTCTTCTTTGAGATGATTCCCCAGAAACTGAGTTGGCCATGTACTCAAACGAGGTACTTCCTCCAAAAGGATTTTGTGAGGGAATTTCTTTACTTCTTCAGGAACTTTAGGCGATGAGCAAGTAGATAAGTGAGCCTGAATCCCATAACAGAAACTGGGAAGTCTTCCACTACTCTGAATTTCAAATTCGCCTCTGCATGGCATGTCAGGAAAATGTGTATAAGACATTCTTAAAAACCACAGCAATTACTCAATCTTGACAAAACCGAATTTAACAAACTACAAAATAAGATAATAAGAGGAGTGGAGAAGGGCATACTTCCAAATATAATCAAGCTTTGGAACAGAAAAAATCCTAAATTCATCAGGTTGATTGCAAAACATGGGCCTAAGATCCGTCCTACTACTTCGGTCCACTTCCTTTGAAGTTCCTGCATCAAGAATAGGAGCCCGAGTACTAATCATTGGGCAAGATTCTGCAGCGTGACCCATATTCTTACATTTATGACAGCATACACTTCCACTTCCAGCTGAAACATGCTGCCCAGGCTTGCTGAAATCAGAGGTCTCCTTGACTTTCTCACCCCCACTGGAAGATTCCCGTGACTGAGGTGATATATCTTTTGCAATTGAATCAGAATTACCACAATGACAACCAGAACTCAATAAAGAACTAGATGCAAGATCATCCTTAAGGACAACTAGACTTGGCTTCATTTCCTGATAAGAGTCAGATATTGCATGAGAAGATGGATCCCCACTCGTACACATCCGCTTTACCACACCAGATTTATCTATTAACCAAAAGATAATTACTCAGTGTGGAACAGACAACCAATAAACTTTAAAAAAGAAAAAAAAAAAAAGAAAAGGAAAAGAAAGAGAGTAAAAATGATAGTTTATCAGGAAAAGAAAGGAACCCCTACCTAGATGATTGGGATTTTTGGAGCTTTTATGAACCAGATGCCTAGCTGGTTTTGATGAATTCTGTGAATTTCCATGACGTTGAACAGCCTTCAGATCATGATAAGTTCCAGAAGGATGTCGTAATAGAGTTTCAGCATGAGATTCAATTTTTCCATCATTTTTTAATGGACAGGAACTAGCCATCGTTAAACTACCTAGTGTATTATCTAATTTTCCTGTATGCTTCCTCTCAATCGAATTACATTCTTTTGCATGTCTTAATCTCTTGAAATCCTCAACATGAGAAGATTTTGAAGAGAGCATTTTGAAATTTAAATCAGCAGCATTTGAATGGCCAGAGCTGACATTATTAAATGACATAGATTTACTCATCATTCTGACAGTGCCATCCTTTTTCTTCTCGCTAGCAGCAGTTTCTCTAGGGAACTTTTGCTTTTGGAGAGTATCTTTTTCTGACAGTTGGATTTTCCGTTTTGAGGCTAAAATGGTGACTGAATTTGACCTTGTGAGAGTACCTGTAAAACCAAATTTTGAACTCATAAATCCAAACACAGGTGAAACATGGCATTCTCATTATAACATAATGTCTGCCTGATGATTGAGATAATTTATATTGAGCAAAAGCTATGCAAGAAAAAATTACCCCGTGACATTAGAACATGTGGCGATTTTGGTGAATTATGAACTGATTTAGTAAGCAAGTGTGCCTTCCCCAATGTATTATTAGAACAGTGATCTTCAAGAGAAGATATCTTGTAGGTTGGTTTTGTTTTCCCCCCATCCACGGCCTTGTAAGAAGACTCGCGAGACAGTAAAGATTTTCTCAAAGGACTGGACACCCTGGGTGATTCAGCACTTGTTTCAAGAGCCCTTCTTTTCACCACTGAGACAGATTCCGAATTGTCTGCAAGTCTCTTAGCAGGGAATTGTTGAATTGAACTAACTTTGTCCCTCGACTCTCTTCTGCTTTTATCGACATTTGAATCTTTGTCGTCTGATGACAAAGAAGTTTTGGGATTGGCAGTACAAGAATTCCCAACATCTTGGTGTATTTCATTCAAGGCTGGACCTTTTGAAGATCCAACTAATTTTCCATATTTATTCTGCGTCTGTTTCTCAGTTCCCTCATACAGCATGCATTCTTCACACATCCAATTGCCTTCAGGAACCTTATCCAGCCGAACACGCATGCAGTAACTGATTGATAGAAAACAAGTGTCAATGACCTCAAAAAAGAAGAAATGTTGAAACATGCAGTTATTGCAAAATAATAGTTTCAGAAAAAACAGAAAAACAAAACATCCAAAGGATAATTGTAAATGACTTACATGTGCTCTGCCCCATCACTGCACCTGCTACAAGTAGCAAGCAACTCCTCCCGACCAGCATCCCCACAGATATCACAAACTTTTACCTGTTATGACACCAACCAGGCAATGTTACTACAGAGAATTAACAACAAATATAAATAGGTGTACCTTGACACCCTGTCAGGGTTCCTGCATTAGCTACCTAGCCCTTTAAATAATCAATCACCGCTAGTCCCCCATACAATGATCACAATCAGGACTCGTACTTTCTAGGTGTACCTTGAGACACTGATTTTTCTTCATGGTAAAAACTGTGTTATTAGTCAAATGCAATTCCATGAAAGAAAATAATGTCATTTTTATGCTTTGTTAACTTCATTGCGTTCATCCTAAAAGGTACAAATACTAATTAGGAGTCGTGTATGTTAGAATTTATTAGACGTAGGCTCTTGCTCAAATCTTCTAGACTCGTATCCAACACATATTAGGTGTGCCTATGAACATAAAATTTAAAATCCATAATTTCAGACATGTGATAGGCACTCCCCAGCATGCAAAATAAAACCATAGACATTAAAAATCTATCTTCATTGCCATGATTGTGTCCTAATTTTTTAAGATTTACCAGGTTGATGTGTCCAGGTCTTGTCTGCGTCGGTGACCATGCTTTTATTCCTAGAAAGTCAGTCAATGCAATGCAAACAGTGCCACATTGAGAATGTTAAAATAATTCAAGAAATAAACAGTACGTACATCCTCCAAAAGATCTGACCCATCATTACAGCCGACAGGCTGAGAATGCACCGGAGGTTCCTGAGCATAGGACACTTCAAGCATTACCAAGTTTTCATTCTGGCCTGTACAATTCATAGCTTTGGTTGTTGGATCCCCCTCATCCAATTCAGTTTTGAATTTAACAGATTCAGCACTGACAAGTGCATCATGTTTTTGACCATTATGACTAAAGGTTGGCAATCTTGCAAGAGATGAATCTACTTGTTCCATGGAACAGACTGAAAGATCTCCCTGGAAATGAGAAACATAAATTATCTTTTTTTATCAGCAGTTGAATTAAAGGAAGTATTTTCCACTTGAAGTTAAAAAAAAAAAAAAAAATTGACTTCGCACCTTCAGTGCACTACCTCCAGCACAAACATCATCTCCTAAAGAAGAAGTCACTGACGGGTTTGATTTATCAAAAATAGGCGCAGTCTCCTGTAAAGATCCCTTGTTAAACTCGGTTGGCCTACTTGAGCAAATGTGTTTCTCTTCTATTTCATCAGGACTACCAGCAGAACAATATGAAGTGGGTTGAACATTAACTTCCTTCTCAAATCTTTCTAGACCAGAACTACTAACTGAAGTTGAACTACATGGCACATTCTTCCTGTCTGTGTCACCTCTATGATCACCAACGATCATGTTTGGGCTGTCATCTCCAGTGACACATGAGATGTCATCACCATTACATTCTGAAACTTTCTGCTGCTTATGCTGATCTGAGAAGATTCTCTTACCACAAAAAATCTGTGGCTCAAGAAGTCCCTGATCATCTGCAATAGTTGGATCGGCAGCTGCCTTTGAAAGCATTGCAATGCCAGAGGTATCAGGAGCCATCAAAGTAGCTTTGCTTTCTGCATTTTCAGAGGATGAATCATGACTTGAACAAGCACTGAGAATGTCACCAGTTTTACTTGTATGATGTCCAAAATTGTGTTCTTTGCTTTTAAAAGGAGATAACATATCAGCAGTAGTAAAGGAGCCTCGGCAAGCCACCTTTCTTGGACAAAATTCATCTAATAAGTTGTCGGGCTTCAAGCCCGTAGGTGCTAATGCGGAGTTAAAATGTGAACAAGGTGATCTTAGGGTGGCAGCAAGACTGCACGCCCCAGATTCTGTTCTTGTGCAAAATTTTCCACTCGTGAAATGCCTCACAAATATATTTTCAGTCCCAGATAACTCCTGACATGAAAAAAGTGGAAAGTTATAACGGAGAAAAAGGAAAACAGCATAAATAATAAATAAACAAAATTAAAATGAAATAATAGTGGTGCCATAATCAGCAACTTCAAAAGTTAAGCAGTATATTCAAGAAACTTGCAGGGACAATCAAGTTAACATATTAGTTATAACTCAATAATGTTGAATCTTATGAATCATAATGTACAGAGTAAAAAAAAAAAAAAAAAATCATACACGATGTAGACACAATCTGCTATAAATATCATGCTAGAACCCATAGTGTGTTGGTATACAGCTCAGATCTTTGACAGCTACTTCATTTATCTGGAAGTGCCCAACAAAAAATTTGGCCTAAAAAAGAACAGCAGTTACGTCCTCCCCCTGCCCCTCCCCCTCCCCTTCTTGAACATGCACGAATACATGCCCAAAGATGCACATGCACATATGAAGGAACACAAAATGCATGCATCCATGCACAAAATTGGTATAATAGTCAAGTATTTATTTTCACAACAAACCAAGTTTAAAAGAAAATTCCTGCTGGGTGCAAACAATTCCTTGGAGGGAGGGTGTGTGAGTACCAACTACGGAAGAAGAAAAAAAAAATTCAAAAGAAACTTCCATGAAGCAATAAGGCACACAATCTTCTACAAAATTCTCTGTTACTTATTATGAGGCAACAAGCTGAAACCAATTATACTGTGGGAAATATACATTTTAATGCATGCAAAAACTTCGTCTTAAACCCTGGTTTAAGGAATTTTTTTTATAGTAAAAACAGGCTTGAATGTTACTCAACGCCAATTAGACTTATTTCTCCTTTCCCAGATTAACCTTATTGAATCCATTTTCACTTTCCAAACTATCAACATAAATGAGTTTTATGGGAAAATTTTATAAGAAAATATTTTTTTCTTCGAAAAAAAAATGGAAAGCAAACTCACACCAACTCTCTGTTTACTACATTTCATGGAATGTTTCTCAATTACACCGACAATAATACTGAAATTCAAAGATATGAGAACCACCACAAATTGAATATACCTTATGTTGAAAAGAAACGATGCCATATCATATTCTCATTATTGTTGTTTTGATAAGCACAATGTCTTACCAGATTCATCTGAATGATCTGCAGGTCCTTGAATGAAACAACCACTTTTCAGTGCCGGTGTAATCTAAAAAGCAGGCCAAAATTAATATTACTTACAGTCCCCAAGACTAAACATCCATGAAATACAGATTTTATACTGCACTAGTAACAAAATTATTAAAGCATAAATAGATATGCATATGCATATAGACACATATTTTACTGCCAGTGTGTATTAAAAAGCAGCCCTAAATCTATATTTATTACCATCTATAGTCATATCCTATAAGATAAAATACAAACTAAGGATAAGAGGGATTAGGGGTTAGCCTAGGCTCAACCCATGGTATGAATCTTTCAGTCCAAGTTCAACTTAACCCGACCTTCAACCCAAGCCTAGCCTGTGCTTGAAACTTAGAACTAAGGTCGGGTTCAGGTTCAAGTATTGGTTCAGATTGCTTGTCCAACTCTCATATCTCAAAACAGTGGGACATGACTGAACTATAAACTGTGGAGTCAATATATCTTCTACAAAATTTAAGTTTCAAACTATGTGCAGAACATATAAAAAAATGAAGACAAATATACTAGATTAATTGTTATTTATTTTCCTACTTATACTAGATTAATTTGCAAAGTACGATATGCAAAATTGGGTAAACCCAGTGCACGAGGCTCCCGCCACTGCGGGGAGCTCATGGAAAACTTTGTTGCGAAAAAACAAGATCCAAAACAAATTGAAACATAAAAACATAATGTCGGGAGGATCCAGAACTCACTAAGTAATTAGAATTCTGAAAAATTACAATATGTCTTGGTCTATATTCCAGAGCTTGTCTATCATGAAATTGCTCTCATTGTGCTCACATCCTGATTACTGTTGTATTCAGAGGCTAACCGCACAATCTTGCAATCCAATCGTTCTAAGGGTCCAAGTCTAGTAAGAGCACCTTCAACAAAGAGTGGGAACCACAGAATGAGCACGCTGAGTACCAAGTATCCATCTTTTTTCTCGCTTGAATCAATTATGTATATGGATGTGTGTGTGTGTGTGTATATATCTATGCGAACAGATTATTGATTTGCTATAGCTAGGACTATCATTTTATTGGATTACTTTACCAAATTTGAACATTGTAAATAAAGACTAAAAAGGACCAAATTCTAATTCTCTATGGATTTTGAGGGAGCCACATGTAATTTTTTTTCAGGCTCACCATATAGACCTGAATAGATGGTTTTAAAAAGAATTTGGGGGGCATTGTAAGTCTGCCCCTGCATAATGTTGTGAAGCAAAAAATGGATATGCTGAATTCTCTTGAACATGCTACAGGCTGACAGGACAAAGTCACAAAGGTCCAGATTGTTTGCTTTACATGCTACAGGCTGACAGAAAATTGGACATGTTGAATTCTCTTGGACAAAGAATAATTTCCATGGTAGGAATATGAAAGATGAAAAATAAGTGATTTCGATTATAAATGAATTGAGCTCAGTTTGGCCAACTCGGCTTACATTTGGGCATGCAATATGTTATCCCAAGTTCAACTGGAAAGAAAATAAGTGGGGATTTTTCAACCCAAGCTGACCTAGTTTTTGAAAAAGGCTGCTTACACCCACGAAATACTGGGTTTTGGTTCTGTTGGCCACCCCCATTTGCACCTTAAAGATACCAACGAATCTAATGCATGAAATAAAATTACAGGCATATATTTGATCATATATCCCACAAAATAACGGGATATCAAAATTACTTCAGCGTTCAGTACATGAGCACGCGAATAAGCACATACATGCATATATAAATACATATATCATTCAGATACAAATCTACACAATAGTTATATATGTGTGTGATTATGTTATGGATTATCTGCTATAACAACAAAATTATTCAAGCAGACAATAGACGTGCATAGATAGATTTATAAAAAGATTAGAGTGAGTGAATGAGTGAGTTCAATTATAAAAAAATGAATTCAGCAATACACAGTATAATAGGAAATGATATCTTACAATTTATCACATCAAAGTAATCAGTTCTTAATTTGAAGCCCTAGAGACCACGCCAACAAAACAATTGAAGCTAATCAACATTCTTCACCACAAAACCCTAATCCCCTGTCTATAATCCAAACCAAAATCACACCCAAAACTCGAAAATACACACAAAATCCAACAGTCGAACAACAAAAATCAAAACTTGGAATAGGAAAAAATGATCAACAAACACTAAATTATTCAATTCATGCTCAAAATCATTCGAGAACCCCAACTAAGAGAGAAATTAAAAGAGAAAGAGAGCAATTCAATAACATGCCTTTGGTTCCGAAACCTCCTCAGTGACGTCGAATAGCTCTTCGAAAATGCGAGTCTTAGGTTTTGATATCAATTCAATCAAGCAAATGCTTCATGCAGAAGAAAATTGAGAGAACAGAGCACTCTGCAGTTTATATACTTGTACATATATATATACAGAGAGAGAGAGAGGAGCTTATATATGAAGCCAGAGGGTTTATAATTTTTAAATTAATTATAGCAATACAGCGTGTTTATTACTTTGTTTACTTTTTCTCTCTCTAAACTTTCTCTCTCTAGAAGTTGATGACTAAATATAGAAAATGGGATTAATTTCTTTGCTTCTTGTCATGGAGAAGGTAGATTTTATCCTATGTGTGTTAGTAATCCGGTGTGCTCTCATATTTTATCTAGATTTAAATCAACGTGTCCTTTCAAGCCATTTGTCCATATTTTTCACTCTGAATTTTATTTTATTTTATTTTATTTTTATTAAATCAAATCAAATCAAATCAAACATTTTTTAAGAGTTTTAGCTCCTTTTTTCACTTCTTTATTTTGTGAATATGGAATAAATATTAATTAAAAAATCAAATACAAGAGTTTTTTTATTTACAGATGCATTGACTTGGATCTAAATTTTGACCTTATTTAATATAGATAAGACCTCCTCAACTAAATTACTAAGTCTAAGAATTATTATTCTTATTTTTATACCTAAAATATTAATACAAATAATAATTCACTTAATTGAAATATTTATTAAGATATATATATATATATATATATATATATATATATATATTTATCATGGCTAGAATGATAGGTTAATTATTAGAGGAAGAGGGTGCAAGACTCGAAAATTAACTTTTAGACGCGGAAAGCAATCCAACTACTTCAACAACACGAATAAAATGAGAGATTGCATGTTTAAAATGTGAGTCCTCATATTTAAGAATGAATAAAATAAGAAATGGGATTGGCTTTGAAGAAATTTTAAATAAAAATAATAATATTTTTTATATTTTATAAAAATTACAGGCTTTAATCAAATTTCAAATTTATTAGACTAAAATTTACAATTTAGCTAATTCAAATATTCTTTTCTTTTAGCTTTTTAAAAATCTAAATTAGAAGAGGATATGATAGGATGGTCCAGCAGTCTAGTGCTCAATGGAGCCTCAGAAAATGGAGTTACTAGACGACGACACGTGTATTTTCGTGCGAAGAATTTCAAACTAGGTGCAGGAGAACTGTGGTCCAGATGTACGTGAGTATTCTAACCGAAACGGTAGTTGTGGACGTCACGCGTTGGGAATTGGACCAGTAACTTTAGCTAATGTGCGCCTTGTGCGCATGCATACACAGAGTCCACGTTGACGAATCAAAATATAACATCTGTGTGGTGCAACGTCATCAAATCTGTGTAGCTCTGACATGTAAGCACAATATCTGATGTATGGCGGTGGAAATATGGAATGTTTGAGCCAAGTTTTATTAGAATATTGATGGTAACACGTGAGCATTTTTGAGAGTGAATATCTGACCGTTGATTATGAACACGTAGTACTTTTTATGCCATACAATTCAAGATATCTTGATCTTTAATCAAACTTTCCTACACCACATAATATTTGGTTATTACATTTATTAAAATGCCATAATTGTTCTTTTCAGATAAGATTATTCACCTTGTTAAGACAAATCCTATCCGAAAAATCTCAAATTTATCTATAACTCATTTAATGGCTATGGTAATGGGGAAATTTTTATTTATTTATTTATTTTGATTCTACATTTTTTTTCTAAAATGGTGAGTAAGGTGCAGGAGTTTGAGTAGCAAGAACAGTGGAATTGAATGTCATGTGATTACAACAGGCAAAATCAAAATACCAACATGTATTCTTACCTAGTGTGGTAAAAAGAGAAGAGGAAGATACACCTTTTCTTCTAGTCAAAACTTGATTGATGATTGCCTTAAGGTTAGTTGTAAAAAATGCAGATGAAAAAGATAAAGACTTGTTAGGAGTGCTAGACATGGGTACTGGAGCTGGGGGTCGTGACTGTAATGGCACAATGCGAGAGGTAGCCATAATTGGAGTAAGTGGAGTCAGTTTAGCACGAGTGCGACACTCCTGAAAAGAATGTCCTCGAATCTGACAAAAAGTGCAGTAAAAAGAGTGAACATAGTGGTTGTGCTGTCCGTTGTGATAAGAAGATGTCGACTGAAAAGCCACAGTGGGAGCCTGCAAGCATGTCCTCATTTGGTCAAGCTCTTTCATAACAGCTTAAATAAGAGGAATAATCTCATTTTGTGCCATTTAGAAATCTCAAATGCAAAAATGGACTGCAAATTTGGACTCAGCGTGAAAAAACTGGGCTGGAATGATCTCTTCGAAAAAACTTAATGAGACTGCTAACATGGCAACCTGTCTGACATGGCAGATGATGTCGCTGTTGACATGTGTCAACGTGGAAGATGATGTAGCTGCTGACTTAGACCGATGATAAGGCAGAATGGGTCCCGATTGCTGACATGGTAGCTGAAATGTGATCCTGACGTGGCAGTTGACATGGACAGATGAAGTGGCACAATGGGTCCTATTGTTAACGTGTCAGATGTCGTGGTTGATGAAGTGGCAATGCTGACATGGCAGAATGGCCACTTGCTGACATGGCAGCTGATGAGCCCAGGCGCTGACATGGCTGCTGACGTGGCAACTGACTAGGATGATGACGTGGCACTGTCTTTTGGAATCTGTTGTGCATAGGCGCGTGTGAGCGCTGAATAATGTGAGCTGATGTACTGGGCACGTAAAGGAGTATATGCGCGTGATCTGATTGGATCTAACACGTTGTGGCGCGTATGCATGCTTGGATGGAAATTGTGGCATATAGCAGTGCGTGAAGAACGGAAAGGAATGTAGAAAAATTCCTACACCTAGAATTTAAAGAACCTAAAAAGAAATAGAAGAAAGAAGAGTGGCTCTAATACCATGTTAGAAGTATAAATAAATGAGAAAATAGGAGAGGGATATAGGAGAGGTCTATGTGGAGAGCAAGTGAACTCCACATAAGGTAATGATATATATGGTAATGAAGGTAGGTGAAACCAGCTAACCCTAACCCTATAATACAATACATAATATAATACATCCTGTGGCATTCACTTGTATTCCATACAATTAATTCAGGAACAAACTGAAGAAAGCAACATGATAGAGAAGATACTTATGGTATTCACTTTTTATTCCACAAACGATACATCTTATACAAAGAATACAAGAGTTTTTTTTACAAATGAACTAGACTAATCATATCTAAACTAAGCTATAACTACTGCAAACGAAAACGTAAACGCTACATTATGAAAGTAATTGTTTCAGGGACCTTTATCTTTGACTCCTCTCCTGCTATTTATACTCATCCTCCATGATAGTTGCTTCAACTGTACTTTTTGAATTCCAATGCAAACAGTTTATTATCTTTCCTTTTATCATCTTATTTTGCCACGCAAACTTTTTGTGCAAACTGTTAACCGTCTATGCAAATTGACGTGGATTTCGGCTCGAGCATTGTTTCCCAATAGGAAAAAGAATAACACGCATGTTAACAAGTTGTCTCTCCATGACCATGCAAGCAAAATACAG